ATCTCATTTCATGTAAACGATGCTTTACCAGCCTCAAAATTACTTATGGGGCCAACTTCCGACTCCTTCGACAGGATTCAAATCCACCGAATGTACTTTCTTCCAACTATTTTTTCTTTTGCATTCATCCAACGGGAAAGTTGCCAGTACCTTTCAGGAGTTTCTTTGGGCTCAAAAATATTGCTTCTGATGAATCAATGTTGACTCGTCATTTCCTGCGTTTTCAGATCGTCTAGTTTGTCAGTTTGAACTGTCCACTTGGTGTGATGTAAGCGCATTTTCCTAGTTATCAGTTTTGAATGTTTTAGTTTTTGTTTGTTTGTTCATTTCAGTGTACAAAATCTAACGTATGTTAGTAGAATTGTTCAAACTATTCGTTCTTGGCCCATCTCCCAGCCCGGGCGGATGCAAGGTTCGGATGCAAGGTTCTACAACACGCGACTCTACCACGTTTCCCAAGCGAAAACAACAGAAGCAACAACAAAGTTATCTCGGAGCTGCTGCCTCCGCTTGGAAAGTACAAAAAAGCGGCGTCTGCGTTACTCCTTTACTCACGTCTAAGATGAGGAAAGCCATGCAAAAGCGAGCGAAAACCTGACTTCGTATATAAGTGGTTATAAATCAAATTTACGTGAATGTTTGTTATATGCTGATCAAAGCGGGACTTATAGTAATGATCAAATGAGCAACAGTTAATAAGGTTACAATGGACTTTCATGTAATTTTCATGGTAAAATAGCCACGCTATATAGTTTGCACCCTCAAACACATTAGTAGAATGTATCAGAACGCTGTCGGCATATTTCTCTTGACCTAATGCTACTCTTTCTGCTCTTTACAGGCATCCTCCTAACAATTTTTCCATTTAAGGCGTTCGTTCCTGCCGAGGAGTGGGGATGCTTCCGCGATTCATGGGCGGAATTGATGCACCGGCAGTTGTCCCCTACCCAAGGAGAGCCATTGGCATTGAAGTTCACATTTTACGTAGTGCACGGAAGACGATCTACCAATTAAAGCGCAATCAATGTCCTAAAGTTCATTCTCACCCGGAGCAGTGCGGAAACCCTCGAAGATAATTATCGATGCATGGAACAGGAATATACGCGTCGTGAAACCTAATCAAAGTATTTAGGCAGGGTTCGTGTACACTTGCAGCAGCACGACACTCAAGCAACGTTTGTTGTTCCATTGTGTATTTTTGTGTAGAACAGAGACACAAACCTGCTCATCTGTAGGGATAGGCATGAACCACGGATGTATTGTGTATTTTTGTGTAGAAGAGAGACACAAACCTGCTCATCTTTAGCGATAGGCATGAACCACGGGTGTATTGAACCATTGAGTTTCCTACATAATTTGCTAAACTATTTTCTCTCTAAAGAGCAATGGGTTGCTGTGGCCCCTATAGGTAGTACATGGATTTGTCTAGACTTCAGGCTGGTGGCTGCGAATGCACTCGTGGCTTTGTTTTATGGTTGTATGCCTTTTGTATATTGTTTTAAATAAAATAATGGCTCGTTGTTAACCCAACGTTTTTATTTTTGTAACGCTTAGACTGAAATGTTAATATGATAAAGTCGACCTGCTGAACTGTTGAAACTCCGCTTCGTATTGCGACAGAGTGGCTCCAGCCCACACACTGCCAAGCGTTGGCAAATGCACGTTGAAAACATAAATCTACGCCGACATACAGGGCTCAAGAAGACGAGCACAGGACTGTTGGCATATTTCTTTTTGTATTCTGCATGTAGGCGCATTTTTTATGCTTTCCACGTCTTAACAACTACCCCCCCCCCCCCTTTTCGCTTCTTGAGTTAAAACGTCCGTATTACACGTCATTCCCAAGCTGGCTGAAGCACCCCACGTTGCAGCTCCTTTATCCACTAATGCCAAATTGTTCTGTAGTGTATTACTTTAAAACTGTATGTATTAGTGTGCGTTAGTACTCGAACACGTCCATAAAAGAGCGTCAGCTTCTGCAACAAACCCATGAATCATGAACTTAGACAAATATCGCATCAATACGTAATCCTCGGATAACGCGTACTCGGTAATTGCACGATTTTCAACAAACATGTCGCAACAACATTTACCGGTTGTCAATATCTAGGGCACATTATGCACCACTAGAAGACATCGGTCACAGTTTATTGAAAAAAAAAAGCCAAAATTAAGTATCCTTATCCAACATCATTCTACTCCATTCATTTTTTTTTGGGGGGGGGGGGGGGGCGTTAAACCCCACATATTAATCAATCATCAATCCATTCATTCTTGGTCACTGCTAACTAGCCGTTTATGAGATCAGCTATATTTGGACGACGCTAGACATCACTGGCTAATCTGAAACAACACCTTCTGACATGAAAGCCGACATTTGCCATAAATGGCTATTGTTATACCCTTTCCAAGCCGACATTAGCCATTGATAGCCATCATTGTAGCCTTTACAATCCGACATTTATTAAGCACTAGGTATAGCAACTAATTATGTGGCAGTGATGGGGGCTTAATTCACACAGATGGGTTATGGGCAGCGCTATGTTATCTCACTATGCCCCTTTTTGCGTACAAAGTGAAGGTATCTAACATGGCCACTTGTGTCCATTCCGTTCTAAACACCAGATATACAGGGCACCCCAATCAAGCAGCGCGATTTAAAAAAAGAGGAACTGCGCTACTGCGAAGCAAACATATAGTGCATGTCGTTCCCAGAGTACTGAAGAACCCACTACTACTTTTTGTCAATGACTATTAATTAATTAAACTAAATATACTGGTAACTAAAGATCACTCACCCAGATATCAAAAGTTCAATGAGTCAGATGTACGCAGGTTGAAATGGCATCTGTCTGTGCTACGTCCAACAACGAAGCAACTGCAGGCTCAGTTTTTTTTTTTCTGTGAATAAAGGAAGCCGCAAAAGAAAGCAGCACCCCCAGTTATGTTTTCTGGAATCAACCGCTTTGCCTGTTTTCTGTTGCCAGGCACAGCGTATTACCCATTAGCAAGGGTACAAGTCGGGAGCCAACAACATTGCGCCATAGTTTCGCGGGGATTCATTCCGCTTGACCAGTACGTCGCTATCACCATTCATATCTCATGGTCAACTGTTCTCATTGATAACGCAACCGGGTCATCGTTCTGCTTAGAGCAATCACAGCCTGACTGTGTAAGATTAAGGCGGTGCGTCTCTTCGGGCTGAAAATGGCAGATAGCACGATTCGTATTTTTCTTTTTCTTTCTACATTTACTTCATTGCTATTGGCTATCTCAAAGTGAGCTTGTTTGAGAGCACTTCTTTCTGATGCGCGCAGTGGTATAGTCACGTGTTATTTTTCGTATTTCACGGGCTTTCTTTGTTGACCGGAAAAAAACGAGCCCGCAATAAGTACGTTGTTGAAAGTAGCACAGAGAGATGTCATTTCAACATGCGCACATCTGCCTCTTTCACATTTTGATAATTAGGAGAGCACTTTTTGGGTTACAAATATGGTCGTGACTAATTAGTTAATTATCATTAACAAAAAATAGTAGTGGCTACCGGAGTTTACTGGGAACAATATGCGTGAACTTCGCTTCACGTAACGCCATTGCTCTTTTTTTTAATTGCGCTGCGGATAATTGGGTTGGCCTGTATACGGTGCCATGATGGCCTACACAATCGCGTGAATAGTCCACAATGGTGCAACACTCTAGACAATACAACGGGACACTCGAAAACAACAGCCTGCATTAGGAAGAGGCGGGCTTGCGCATAAAACAAGCATCGCCGAGAGAAGCCTTCCTTAGAGGGAAGCTTACGTTGTAGCAACCTTGCTATGTGTGACAAGGTTCAACAAGTGATGAAATTTCATCCCAGGTTGTCATTCATCAAGGTAGCCAGCGAGGTAGTCATTCTCCCAGGCAGTTCGAGAATGGACTCATTAAAAAAGTCATGGTTGATTTCTCTGCCATAGGAATCGGTGTAACGCAAAAGTAAAAGGGGTCCTTATCGAAGTAGTTTAATGTTCATTGTACACTGATTCAAGAGAGCTTGTGAAATGTCTGTTGGTGTTTGACAGCTGTAGCACAGTTTACCGTCCTACCCCCCTCCCCCAATATACAGAAAAAAAAGACCATTTCAAAAAGATGCCCACCTACCACCTCAAAAAAAAAAATCTGCTTGCGCCCCTACTTAAGGCATCTAATCTGCCTGAACGAGAGACTCGCCATGAATGAAAGGAAGAAGGAGAATATTAGGGGCTCGTTTTTTTATTAACAAATAAAAACAAGGCCTTAAAATTTCTTTTTTTCGCTTTCATAGCCTACTTAGTCATTCATGTTCAAATTTTTTAACACCACGATCTTTGACTGGTTATCAATGTAAAGTTATTAGGGAGTGTTTGAATAGGAGCCCCAAAGCCCTTTCCATGTGCTCACTTTGAGCCAAGTACGAGCTAAAAGTCATCAAATGGGGTCTGTAGTGCTTTGAACGCACATCACTAGGAGCTAGCACGTTTGCCTGAATCAAACGTTTCGGGGCGGGCTTTGGTGCTACCGTTGAATTCGAGAAATAGCGTCCCCAACGCTACACCCATATCCTGTTTACGTCTCGCGCAGCGCAGCATCCTCAACGCTATTTCCTTGGGGCCCCAAAACGATAGCGGCCCCAATTCGAAAATGCTCCAATCTCTAAACAATGCAAGGTGGCCATGTACTATCTTGCTGCACAATGCTATCGCACATTGCCCCTCTTAGCCTCGGCAATAGCATCTTTGGGTCACACAGGTTCGCGTTTCACACTCTGGCTACGGTAAGATATGATATGACGAGAAACGTGATCATGTCAAGTCCACGTATACAATTAAGGATACAATAACGAACACTCAAAGACGCAACTGCCTACGTTTAGACACAGTGTATGAGCGCACAAAACGAGTATCGCTGTCCTACGGTTCTCTTGAAAAGCCCGCACGAGGTGCACCGGTGTTGAAGTGTGTCCCAAAGTTCAGCCAACTATGAAGTTTAACCGTGACGATTACGCGAGCTTCAATCATTACTTCAGTCAGTTCGAGGACGAACTGCTGAAGAAAATACGCTTCCGCAGTCCACTGACCGAAAATCAGCAGGTTCTCGAAGTAGGGTCTGGTACGGGACACTTTGCAAGCCTGTTTCTGACACACCATTGCGAACCGTGTAAGAGGATAGTTGCCACAGACTTCGATCCCGCCATGATGGACTTCGCGAGGAAACATTTTTCGCACGAGCAGATCGTCTACGACACGCTCGATATCACCAGTCACAGCGTGAGTGATTTCCTAGGGAAGTACGGCAAGTTCGACAGGATCTTCTCCTTCCTGCTGTTCCACTTGGTGGAGGACCAGAAGACAGCCTACGCGAACGTCGCCAAATTGCTTAACGACGAAGGGGAATGCCTGGTACTTGCTTTCTCCAGCTTCGATTTCGCGGACGTGTGGGAGGAAGTCTGCAAGACGCCGAAATGGACAAACCGTTTACCGGTAAGTTGACCATTCGACACCCTATTAAGACCCAGTGGTAGAACGCCTGTTGAAAGCTTCGTTACTTGACGCTATGTAGTGACCCATGTTCGAACCCATGAAACAATTACTGGTGTAGGAGAGCAGCAAAACTGTAAAGCAGTATTTACGTCTAGGTGAGCTTGACCATCGTGATAGGACATCATTTTCCTGGTAAATAGGCGGTTCACGCTGTGCGTTCTGCCGTGATGTTACACACCTTTTACTTCATGGACCTAATGACCCAATGCGTTCGCGTTGACATACCATAGTGTCTTAGTGAGTCGACTTACGTGATCCTCACAGCTGAATCGGTGCACCGACTGCAGTAGGCCACTTACACAGTACCACACGGTAATAAAATAACAAAGGAGAAAGCACATGCCTGCGTTAAACAAAAATGTTGCGGTGTGAAGTGGAATGCATGAAACAAGTTAAAAAAAGAAAGAGACAAAGAAATAAACTCAGAGAGCAAAAAAAGGCAATAGAAAATGTACAAAGAGATCATTCGAGACAAATAAAGGGAATACAGAAATTAAAAGACCAAAACACAAAGTCAAAGAAAGAAAGAAATACAATGAATCATACTTGACAACGAGATTTAAGAACAGAAAGCAAGGTATAACAAGAAAAAAAAAACAGAGAAATGAAGAGATAGACTTCCTGGAACAGGAAGTGACAAATAGGGAGAGAGATAAAATTATAGGAAGAAAGAGAAAGTAGGAAAGGAAGTGCCAAAAAGGAGAAAGAAATATGCATTGCGAGAAAGAATCAAAAATAAACATATACTGAAAATTAGTACGAGAAACAGAGGAAACTAGAAAGAAAGCGAAAAAGAAAGCGCCACAATGAGGGAAACACACCTCCACTTCTTCCTCAGGCTTGGCAGCGCTAGCGCGAAGCCGCCTTTTCTTTTTACTTATTTAAATGTCACTCTTCGCAAAGACGTACGTAATGCACCCAACTTAACTAAGAGTCGGTTGTTGTTTTGATGTGTACTTGCGTGATGAACAATCATTGAATGGCGAATGTTCCTGACATGAACCTCGACCAAGATATCCTAAAAAAGGGGAAACAGACAACCGCCCAATTATGTTGCGAAGCCACAAGGAAATCCACGTGGATTTCTCAGAAAGAAAAGCTTCTTAATTGCCTAAAAATGTGTCCACTTCCGGGGTTCAAACCCGACACCAACGCATTTTCGGGGTGGTTGTTTTACCATTTGAGCTAGCCAGGAAACTATCAATTGGCAGGGTGAGGGCAAATTCATCGACAACTTAAAGTACTTGGACACAAGTAACGCATGGCCGGAGCGACCCGCAACGTGCTAACGCACATTCCGAAGAACCAAATGAAGTTGATCCATCCATCCATCCATTCGAGATGACGGGCACGCGGCTCGTTTTTTGACGCGCGCCCAATATCTCGGAAGCCATGAGTAACGCAATTTAGTTCTGTGGAGACCCGCAAGATGGCGAAAAAACACAAGTAATTTGCGTTCGCGCCACCGCTAAGACCACAATCTTCTGCTCAAAATATATGTGAGGGTTTCGTCATAACAATGATAATGTGGCCACGTGCAAGCATTATCTAGCATTGACATATCTGAAGCCCACTGTTATCACACAATGTCTTTTTTAGCGTCAACAACAACAGATTCCAGTTTGTTTTTTGTTTTTTATCTAGAGCAACCGGCAGATACGATGTGTCGGCCGACACGATCATGCTTATAGGGTCACAATCAGGCACAATCTTTGCCAGTACAATAGCTTCTCACCGACGCACTTGCGTACATTAAATTGCGTACATGTGGGCACGGGCATTGATGTCCGTGCCCGCATCAAACAAGCATAGCGGTCGTATACTTTTTTCCAGAACTTCAATAAAGTGAAGGCCCTCCACCTTGGAAATAACTCCATCACATCGAACATCAAAAGAGAAACTTACCACTCTCTTAGAAGTTCAATGACTGTGCTAACACTATGATCGCAATGCTTCAGCAAATGTCAATTCGCGTTTTATTTCCCATCTGCCGGAGGGGGTGCAGATAGCCTAGCCATAACCCTCTAAATTGTTATATTTTTGTTTAGTGGCTTTCATTCCTTCTTTATTCCTCATTAACCAGCTTCTCTTTCTTGATATCCTCTTTCTCTCTATCTCTGGCTTACACGCAACGGCTTTGATTGAAAGATAAAGGTTAATATTGGAATCCTCAAGGCTCTCATCGATTCTTGCCCCATTGTAGTCATATTGCTTAAACATCAGCAACATATTTATTGAAGGGAATGGCATCTATCACAAAGGCCGTTTATCTCGCACTTTACTATCTTTGTTAAAACTTGTCGGTCACTCAATTTTCATTTCTGCTACAATTTCGTACAGTAGCTGGTCATTTCATTAGGTACACACACACTCCAGCAGAGACAGTGACCAGATAACCCCAGAGGGCGATCACAAGCTTCCGTGCCTGATTTTGATGTCGTTTGCGAACATGTTTATCACGATGATGTCACTGGCCTACTTGCGAGGTAGTAGCCGACTTTATTTCCGGTGGATGATTGGTTACCATCGCCTTTTATCGCTTTCATATCGCGCAACTACCAGAATTATTGCTTCCAGTTCAACACTCGTAGATTCAGAGCGAGTACTCTGTGGCACGTCTCCCATTCTGAAAAAAAAAAACGCGTGATTGTTTGATTCCTAAACATCATCTTTCCGTACAGAACCCACGGACTATTGTAAACTCCTTCTTCAACTTTCATCGCGTCAAGTCAACAGCACAGGTTGAAGCGGATGTCAGGGACGCATTGCTTGGAACCGGACTGCAGTGTATCTCCTGCGAAGTTCACGATCACTCGTGGAAGCATGAAAACATGGAATCTCTTCTTGGTGAGTCACGCTTCAGAAGGGATAAGGTTGCTAGGTCGAAGTGTTCTTGAATTGGAAAACCTGAGCAAATTTTTGGAAGAACGTGGCTTGCAAATGCCATGTGCTGCCGATATACTATCGTAATACAAGTAACAGCAGTGTCAGAAAATAAGAGGTATGGTTAAGTCCTGCTGCAAAAAGAAAATCAATGGCTCACAGCATTGGCCACGGGGTTTTCCTCTTTACGAATATTGAGGTCTTAGTCACTGTAATATAATTCAAGAGTGCTGTTTCTTGGGCGAGTTGGAAATGCATACTCGAAAGGATAGCGCTAGCCGACACGGATGAAAGGAAGACACACTAACACACAGACAGAAGCGCTCTAGCAACTGGTTTTCATTGAAAATCTGCCTTATATAAGCACGTCGAATTTCAAATGCGGAGCATTTTATAGTCACACCTACTCGCAAGTATGGCGACGGTGTCGTCGACACCCCCACTGCGCATGCTCACGTCTCGAGCCAACTGATGCTCCTCTCTCTCTCGCTCTCACTCTCTCTCATTCTTTCTTTCTTTTTTTCTGTCTCTTACTCTCTCTCTGTCTCTCGCCTCGCAAGGCCGACAAAGTGAGTGTCTGCTAGTAGAAACCGACTGCTCACGCTGCACAATCATTCACTGGGTCACGCGTTTGGAATTCTATCAGAGCGTCTTTACTTGGCTTTCTCTTGACTTGCCGCTTTGCTTGACTCGAGTAGGTGCGATGGAAGCAACGGTAACTTCAACCAGTAGTTGGGCACAGCCCAACAGCGTCCCACCACTCGTTGAAAGAAATGGTTCCTCTTCAATCAATAGGTAAGAATAAGAAGGACGAAATAACAATTAAGCATACTCAAACCATACCCAATTACACAACATTCACGTAATAACCACCCGCTCCCAACTCTTCGACGCAATCAATCGAGTTCTCCCCGTGAGAATATTCGCACAGCTTCTCTTTTCTTTTGACCACGCGACAATTTCAGTGCAATGACGAACGCGAGAACACCATTCAATAACATTATGGAGAATCTAAGAACACGCGCTCTCCGTTCTCTTTTCAGACATGCTCCTGACGGTTGTTCCCTTCAAGGCCATCGTCCCCGCCGAGGAGTGGACAGACTTCGTCGATCTGTGGACGCAACTGTTGCACCGGAAGTTGTGCCCAGAGCCGGGACAGCCACTGGCGTTGAAGTTTGCCGTCTACGTCGTTCACGGCTGCCGAGCTACCGCACAATAAATGAAATGAGTGCGTGGGGTACTCGTGATCGTTCGGTGCAAAAAGTAAAACCACTTGATACGGAGTGGCCAAAGCTCTAAAAGAGCTGAATACTGATCAAGGTGGAAATCCGCACTGACAACAAAAGGCGCTCAAACTGAGGGACGAAAAAAAAAAATGTCGTGCTTTCCTCGTCGTTCGTGTTTCGTGCCTTCCATTAACAGCGAAACATTTGTTTTCAAGCCAATACCTTGACCTAAGATAGGTTTAGTTGGCCCTTTGGTAAAGGCACAAATACAGAGTAATATATATATATATATATATATATATATATATATATATATATATATATATATATATATATATATATATATATATATATATATATATATATATATGTGTGTGTGTGTGTGTGTGTGTGTGTGTGTGTGTGTGTGTGTGTGTGTGTGTGTGTGTGTGTGTGTGTGTGTGTGTGTGTGTGTGTGTGTGTGTGTGTGTCTTTCTTCGTAAGAGGAAGTCTGCATTTCATAATATGATTGATAAAGATGGTGATCATTGGCGGGCGCTTATGGTCAACAACAATGAAAATAGCAAAGGCACTGACCTTCCAGCCGGCGTTTTAGGGGGAAAAGGCTGCAAACAAAAGCTAATGTGGACATCCTCGTTAGTCAACTTGTTATGTAGTACGAGCATCATAGGCACACCCTTCGTCGAACAGATAAATTGACGCGTTGCGCATCAACCCTACTCCACTTGTTACGTGACACGTCTCTAACATATTTCCAACCATGCCTCTTCTTTTCTTGGATATATAAAACAACTACGGTCTTGCGAAAACGGCTCGGAAACCCAGTTTTGGCAGTAAGGTGACAGATTCGAACCCGGGTCGTTAAATATAGATTGATGGTATCTCCCCCTAATGTCATTACACTGTTTAAAGCCTGATTGCGTGTTTTTGTCAGTTCACTTGTAAGTCTGCATGCGTCTGTCTCACTTTTTTATTTTGTGCCATCATGCCGCGTGTTCCAGTAGGACGCCAACGTAAAGGCAGCCTTTCTTTAATTAAGTAATGCTCATTAAGAAAATCTATAGGTGCAAATAATATTAAGTGCTAGTAGTGTAGAAGTGAAATCGGTGATTGGCTTCAGTCAGATATTAGACCCTCTTTACCATCGGATGTGAATACAAAAAAAAAAAAATCTTGAAGGAAACAGTCTTCCATTTCTGTATCAATGAGTTGGACCATCGTCCCGATGACAACGTCGAACTGATGCTCACGATCCTTTGTTCAAGATGTTAGTCAGTATGAGGCAATGCGAAAGAGCAGGGCATTCTTTCGACTCTGCACTTTTCTGCTAGTACTCCTGCGCAGCGCGAATGGTCTAGATCAATGTAAAGCTACCCATTCATTATCACGTTTTCGGTACGTAATACGATATGGGTTCAGAGCCCATTTCAGCTTTAGATACGGCGTCTTAAGCCATATGAACATTGTGAATGAAGACGCAAATGATGAAAATTTTGCTCTTCGCACTGCTCCTAATATAATTGCTGCATTTACGTATTCTCTAAGAAAATTAAAGTGCATAGGTGAAACAGTCAATTATTGTCTTGATACTTTTGATAATTCAGAAGCCAATTAATCATAGCTTTTTTTTTGTTCCGTGGCATTCAAACTAATGAGCTTTTACTTCAAATAAATTAAACGCTTCAGTGACTGTTACTTAAGTCGCTGTTAGCCATTGGTAACCAATCATCTCGAAAATTCGCCTGATTTGGCTGATGCTTCAAGAAACTGATCATATTTAGAATACGCTATCGGAAACTCTAGCATTAGCCATGACTATACAATAATAGTCATCCCTAGCCAACTCATGCGTACATTTCGCCAACACTAACAATTAAAAACTAGGCACAAGACAATGTAATAGACGTGCGCCCAAAGGCATTACTTCGCAGAGACATCTTATCTGCAACACAATATCTTATCTCACGTTGCCATTTTTTGCGTCCACAATAGGTTATCACGCACAACCACACGTCTCTATTCCTTCCTGCCGCTTAAAGTTATGGTGCTGTGGCGCGCAACGCAATTCTGCCAATACTGCACAGCCAATGTTTCACAATACAGCTGAGCACTCGAAAACACCGTCGAATACAGATAAAGAGTAAGAAGAAGAAGTCATAAAGGAGGGATGACCGGGAGTTTAGCCAGTTTAGGTACAAAGTAAGCTACGCTAAACAACATTACCGGATCTTCCCTCCGGGAGGTTAGCCAGTTTAGGTACAAAGTGAGCTACGCTAAACAACATTACCAGATCGTTATCTTCGACTGCCCGATTCTGAAGGTGTGTAATGGACCCCTTCCATAATTCCCAAGCCCGCTTGTGAGCACTGTGCATTCGCCCAACTGATGGTGGCACCAGTTGTGTTTCAAGTGGAGAAGAAGCCCTAGTTGCACGTACGTCTTTTATGCCTTTTTATATCAACAGGACAGAGTCCACATCGTCCGCGTCACACTGCGTGAAACTGCGCCTGAACACACTGTTTTGCAGAATGGACTAGCTGCCATTATTTAGCCTGGATGCATAGCAGGAAGGCCAGCTTTACATTTACCAAAAGGGTGTGCAGGGTAGCACACTGGATTGTAGTGTCTTGTAAACCTCCCTGTCTTCCTCTTTTCTCTTCTCTCTCTCTGTGAAAAGGGTCTAGTTTGTTGCTATGTTTCTCATGTCACCCAATACTTATCGTGGTTGTCAGACTTACTACGATCGCTTCAAGGCAAAGGTCTCTACCTTCTTTTCCTATTAACACAATCTTGCACTTCTTGTCACCATGTTATGAGCGTCAACTTCTTAACCGGATCCCCCCCTTAACTTTCTGCCCCCCCCCCCTCAACACGCTTCCAGTCCAGTCTGTTTTTCTTAAATACCAGCGGTTATATCGCCTTCTCGGTGCACATCTAGCCAACTTCTCATACTTGGTTTCGGTTAAGGTGTCCGCAGCACTGTATTTGTATTGCTCGCGTAAATGTGGTACGTTTCATGCGTCAGGCTTCAGGCAAACTTGAACAGTTTTATTTTAGTAGGGGGAATTTCGCCTTGGTTACAGTCTTAGCTAACAGTTTTTACTCCCCCGTTTATATTACAATGTGTATACGTCCCCTAATACGGCTCGTAAAATCCTCTTTCTGCTTACCGAAAAAAAGTGCTGATTAATCTACATTTTTTTCCGATATTATGCGGCACATTAGCAATAAAAATAGAAGTAAAAAGGTGACCAGTTGAAAGGTACAAATAAGGGGACATCTTAGGGGCGACGGCGGTCTGCTGAATGGCAAGTGTCACTGCGCAAAACACAACGACTTTCATGGTCATGTAGTGCAACTTCAAGTTACGTGTCGATGCGTCTTATCCTCGAAAAGTTTTGTGACTATTGGCCTCGAGGACAAACCGTGGCGCCACCTACATGATGACGTCGCTCATAGGATGCCGGGTCGACTTGGTCTGCTAGAACACTGCATCTCCTGCGCTTTCGCAGAAGACACCGTGCGTACTTCCCTTTCTTTGTCTTGAATGTTAGTGGTTAAAGAAGCGGTAAGACCTGATAATACGGGCAAGCAAACTACGAATCGGTGCCCCCCGGTGGCACTCTCGTGTCTAACTTCTATCGTAAAATGACGACTAAGAAGCTGTGCAGCCGTGGGGGACGATGCAAGTGGTCTCGCGAAAGCAAAGCTGCCTTATTCCACAACTACGCATCCTATCTGTGACGTCAAAATGATCCCAACAGTTGCCTTTCTAGTGAAGGCCCTCACGGCCAATATGCGCGTAGCGGAGTGCCGAGACGGGCTTATCGGCGGGATTTCACCTGCGCACGTGCTGTACTCATCCTCTTCGATTGTAAACAACCTTACGTCAGTTCTTGGTGGCGTGGAGAGTCCCGAAGCCATGCCAACTATTCGCCATAGCAACTTCACATCATTGTATGGAACACTTTTTAGGGGCGAAGCTCCTTATGGCGTGGCTTGGGCGTCCCTCGTATGTAACCACCAGTGGCACATACCCGAAATAGGTATAACACTTGACCTCCAAGGTGGTGCCAGTGAGAGATTTCTTCTGTGCGTTGTTTAACAATAAAAAATAGTGCTCAATGTACATGCCAATGGCTGCTAATGGGGAATGAGAGACATGAGCATTCGGCTTTTAGTCAACGCGCACGCTGCGATCCCCATTAGCAGCCATTGGCATGTACATTGAGCACTATCGGACAAGAAAGGGATGCTACATTATACTCGCTGGCTGTAACCTCCTTAGCTTTAGAAAGGTTTAGCGAGCGTTGAGCCGCAGTGCCATGAATACAATGAACTTGTATATACCATGAATGAACTCAAGGTGGTTAAAAATGCGAAGTAGATACGAAGCGCAAGCCGTAAGAAAGTAAAAGCCGAATTCTCCTGTCTCTCATTTCTCATTAGCAGCCATTGGCATGTAAATTGAGCCCTATCTGACAGGGAAAGGTTGCTACGTTATACTCGCTGGGCGTAACCTCCTTGGTTTTTGAAAGGTTTAGCGAGCGTTTGGTCGCAGTGCCATGAATACAGTGAACTAGAATATACCATGAACTCGAGGTGGTTAAAGGTGGGAAGTGGACCCAAAGCGCAGGCCGTAAGAAAGTGTGCGTGTGCCACCTCTCGTTTAGTCCTTGGAATGTCCGCTGGATGGCGGTCCTTCTATATGGGGAATATATGATAAAAAGATGCGAGATGGTGGGACTTGGAGTGTTGAATAGATGAACGAACGGTATACAAACAGATGCATGGATGAACGCATGAACGGACGCAGGGGCGGATGCATGAAAGAACGCAGGGACGGGCGCACAAACAGACGCATGGACGGTCACACAGACGGACGCATGGACGGACGAATGCTTCGCCCCACTCTCCATCATTCACTCCGTGGATATGCTGCCATTTTTTAAGTAAACCGATAACTTTGGCATGACCTTGTTCGTGCATACCAGGGTGACTGGCAATTCCTTTAAACGCGGCCTTGCGAAGGGATTCTGAGAGTGGTTTCTGTAACGTTAAATATTTCACTATATGCAATGAACATTTCGGTGCACCTAAATAATTGAGCAATGCGTGTCATGGGATCCTGTGTAGTTTATTACTTCGTGTAACCCTCTGTTAGAGCTGGGCGTCATTTTCGAACAGGCTCACACAAGAATGCGGCCACCATATATCTTTAAATTGATTGAAACCCGCGCACCTCCACGCCTTGCATTTCTAAGCATGAACTTCCTGACGAGGAATACTGTTAAGGTAAGCAGAAACTTGTTATGTCTCATTTCACAAACTGACTGCGTCAGTGACAAGCAGCATCATGGCAGTTATCTATATAGTGATTGCGTTTTTGCGTAAGAAAGATAATACACAAAAAAGAATGTTCAGTAGCAAATGTGCAATAAAACCAGAACCGAAATATGATGAAACGTAGAGCAGCCAACATAAGGCGTTATATGATTGATTTATTGATATGTGGGGTTTAACGTCCCAAAACCACCATTTGATTATGAGAGACGCCGTAGTGGAGGGCTCCGGAAATTTTGACCACCTGGGGTTCTTTAACGTGCACCCAAATCTGAGTACATGGGCCTACAACATTTCCACCTCTATCGGAAATGCAGCCGCCGCAGCCGGGAATCGAACCCACGACCTGCTGGTCAGCAGCCGAGTACCTTAGCCACTAGACCACCGCGGCGGGGCTTGTTCACGAGACGAGCGAATAGCAACAGCCCGAGCTATTTGTTTATTTAAGCAGCTGACTTAATGTACAAGCTGACCGTGGCTTAAAAAGTGCTGATGTTAGGACATTTACAGTTTCGAGCGCGAGATACAGCAGCCTTGCTCATGTGAGTGTGAGTGTATTCTCGAAAATAACTACGTTGGCCACATTTTTTTAATATCTATAAATTACGGAAACGAAAGAAGTAAGAGCGAACACTAGCAAGTTTAGACAAGTTCCCCCTGACGTTGCTAAAGTTACTTCGACCACGACCTGAAAAGCCCCTTCTCCGAAAGGCGACCACCTTCGCGACGAACTTCGTAGTGGACGCTGGACTGGGTAAGCGTTGTGAGATTCTGTATGCTGTGGGCAGTTGTTACAGAGAAATGTGTGTGTGTGTGTGTGTGTGTGTGTGTGTGTGTGTGTGTGTGTGTGTGTGTGTGTGTGTGTGTGTGTGTGTGTGTGTGTGTGTGTGTGTGTGTGTGTGTGTGTGTGTGTGCGCGCGCGTGTGTGTGTGTTTGTGCGTGTGCGCGCGCGCGTGTGTGTGTGTGTGTGTGCGTGTGCGCGCGCGTGTGTGTGTGTGTGTGCGTGTGCGTGTGCGCGTGTGTGTGTGTGCGTGTGTGTGTATGAATGCCTTATTGCAAAGTTAATGCTAGGAAAGTGCACATTTCAGTTCTATTTATTAATTTGTTTCACTTCGGCAAACGTTTATTTTTTCTTACTTGTTTTTTTTTCATTATGAATAATCATTCCTGTTACGTTTTGAAACGTAAGCGAATAGAGTAGCCGTGGTGCCTCTCTAAAAGCAACCACGTTAAAGCGGAACAGAAGACAACGCGTATATAAGTAAACACGAAACACAATTGTCGGGAAGTTTTCAGGGCAGGTGATTCTAGCCATGATTTGGATGTTGGAAAAGGATAATCTTCAAACAGATGAGTGTGCAAGGAGCTGTTGCAGCAAACCAGAATTTTTAAAACGACGCAGAAACACACGACTATTTAAAAAAGACACAGGCAGCAACGCTAATCTTCAGAAATGTTTATCGCGCACATGCATTTATTGCGGTGCACATTGATGACACCTGCTTGGCTCACTATTTTATCGAAGTTTTGTCATACTTATCACCCTTTCTTTCTCTTGTTATACGCTACGCAAGCGAACAGAGTGCACCACAACAAAACAAAAGCGGGAGTTTAAAAGATACGCCACCGCACATCATGATGACGCGGCTGAACGCATGTTCCTGAATGAGGCAGAGAGTCGCTCTTTTTCGGGTTCCGCGTAATCACTAATCAGGCTTTAGACATATAATATACCAATTGAATCAGTCAACTTGACGGTCCTGAAAGGATACATATCCCCTTTGAATTAGTTCTTTACTATTCATTATTCGTATTCTTCAGCAGCTGACATACTGACGACGATGAACACTGTTGCCCTAGAACAGCGTCATGACTCAGCATTCCTCCTTGGGCACACACATCCTGTCGCTGTCCCTTCGGTAGAGATCGTCGTCGCAGAAGCATCGGCTGGCGTAGTCCAAGGTGCAAGGCTTAATTCCGTCCTCTGGATCGCCACACCTGTTCTCACCACAGCTGCTGCTCTGGCCAGTCTTCCAGATCTCGCCCGGGCCACAGTCCTCCTCTTCTGAAATATAAACCGTGGTAAGCTACGCGTTATCATATCTTTTTAACAACTTGTCCTTTTTTGTAAATAGTTGTCTTGCCGAAGACAAAGACGGAGAAAAACTAGCATTTTAAGTCGGGAAAGGACGAGGACCCAAAGGGACACTTGCAGGCGTTCTACATTAAGAAAGTGCGTCAGTGGCATGCCATTGTTTTTGTCTATAGTAAGCAGTCGAGCTTTCTAGACGCCGTAATAGCTCGTAAAGATTTTCTATCATGTGACGCTTGGCGATTTCACGCTTGCGCAAGATGGTTGCCGGCAGATACAAAGTCAAAGTGGCATTTTAAGGATGCTTTTAAGCTATTGTAAGTTCCAGCCTGTCTCACCGTTTTTTTTTTCTGTTATTCGGGATTTCCACTGTAATTTATCGATCCTGACATCTACCGACTAGCACGATTGATTGATATGTGGGGTTTAACGTCCCAAAACCACTATATGATTATGAGAGACGCCGTAGTGGAGGGCTCCGGAAATTTAGACCACCTGGGGTTCTTTAACGTGCACCCAAATTACCGACTAGCACGGTACAATGCCTTAGTACAAGAATAAGCCAAAGCCCCGGTGGAGGAACAAGAGGGATTGTTATCTACGATTGTCCAAGGCTCTCAGTACACTCACAATTCTCGAAATAAACAGTGTTGTTATCTTAGTTTCATTATAAAGTCTCATTGCTCTCAATCACTGTATACCTTCTATCACACACCCTGTTCCGCCCGCCGCGGAGATCTGAGGGTGCTCAACTGCGCTATCGAATCTCAGCAATGGCGGCCACATTTTCAATGGAGGCGGAACGCTAGGAGGCCCTTGCACTTAGATTAAGTTCCACGTCAATAAAACACCAGTGAATGGAATTTCTGGAGCCCTCCGCTACCGCGTCCCACAGCACCATTGTTTCGGGGTGTAAAATTCCCTAAAAATATCACGCATCCTGTTCTGAATCACCAGGGTTTGGAGACTTCCCTGTGGGCTAAATCGTAAGAATAATTTAGGTCGATTTCTTTACGTATTTCTTTTTAGGTAACAACAAAATTCACGAATATAAATAAAGAGGTTAAGAATAATCGTGTAAGTGAAAGCTGTAATCAGTGGAATTTCTTGCACCGTCTCCACAATTATTACAGAAACGCCAGAACTGCGCTACTTGTGCGACAACAATAATAGACCACGAGCTCGCGTTCTACACTCCTAATGCAATAACTAAGCATATCACAGACATGTAGAAATGATCCCCTGTTTTCAATGAAGCCGAGTACATGCTAGAAAGAATAATTCCGGGAAGTAAGCAAAAACATAGAGAATGAAGACCCCTTATTGAAGACTAAGTGTGCTAGTCTATCTATTCCTATGCTACTCTGCATTATTGATGGCAGCAAATAGAGAGAAAGAGATAGAGAGAAAAAGGAATGCCGGGAGATTAATCAGATATTGGCATCTGGTTTGCTACTCAACACTGGGGGTAGAGAAATAGGGGCAAGAAAGAGGGGGTAGATAGAGAGAGAGAGAATAAAAAAATGCACGTGCACTCATGATAAAACGAAAACACACACAGGTTGTGGCCAGAACGCCCTTCATGGCAGCAAAAAATATATACTATAGATAATTATGTGTTGTGAAACGTGAAAACATTTGGGGCTAGTTTACTTAAAGGGAACTATTCTATATGTAGTCTATGAGGTAATTAGTGGTGCCTGGCACACACCTAGAACTCTTTGTAAATGAAAGGAAACAGGAACGCATGCATTAAAAAAAAGGAAATTGACAACCACCACTTTGTAGCCCTAACGCAAGAGGAAATACAATTGAATACCTAGGAAAGAAAGCTTCTGAGTACTGGCAGGAAAATGCGTTATGGTCCGAGGATGGAACCCGGGACGTATGTCCTTCAGCAGCGGTAAACAAATACGCCATTGTCAATTTTATTTGCCTAACTCTTCCACCACATTTGGGGATTCAAAGAAATAATTTGCAGTGCACGTAATATTTCACTGCACGGTTATGGGAGCGGATAAACTCCACCCACAAGCCTCAACAGCACCGAACCCTACTACACCCACTCCCGCGGCACGAAACGGCTTTGCCTCGCCCCTACTAGACAGAGTACTGTAGACGCCTGTGCCTTGTTATGTTTTGCATTCACAATCGTTTCATTAGCCGACAGAACTGCGCAAATGAGGAAATATCTTACGGGCAAAGGTGATCTGAAGGACGGAGAGAACCACTACGCAAAGCACAGCAGCCTTCATAGTCCTACGTGCTTGTCGATGCAGTTTTTCCTCGCACAGCTCTGGGAATATGTATCGGCAACCCCGTCTTGGCCCTTTTTATGCGGGCCGCCGTGACAGGTAATTTTGTTTCAACGGAGCATCGCACGAGGATCCCGTGATTGATTTACGCCATGAGAAATGTCATTCGGTGCGCTGAACCTGCAAGAGCAACTGAATTATGAGCTCTGTATGTGTCGGTGGCGAAAACAAGAATACCTCTGCCAGCTATCATCCTTGAATTAAATGGAACACTAGCGTTATTCAGGCCGGCGTGCGTGTCTGTAGCATTCTCAATCAAGAATACGTTCTGAATATGAACATATGAGTAGGTTTCATTTCAGCTAATTGTTGTATATGGTAAGCTCTTATATAGTTATTCATTTAATTACAAATGTTTTTAATAGCTATGTTTCAACAGCACTGATACATCTGCCAGCTACTATTCTTTAATTTAATTCAAACACTAGCGTTATTGAGGCAGGCGTGTCGAATTCCCAATCAAGAACACGTTCTGAATATGAACACATTGTCAAGTTTTATTTCAGCTTATCATTTTATATGATTAACTCCCTTAGTTGTCTAGTTCTCCACCTAATTACAAATCTCTTTAATAGCTATGTTTCAATAGCACTGATACACCAGCCCGCTGCTATTTCTTATGACGTCACGCGTTCGTATCCCGTTATCGTTTGTAACCCCTGATGGCACATACCCGAGAGAGTGGGTATGTGCCACAGGAGTAGACTTATAGGGGCGAAGCTCCTTAAGCCGTGGGTAGTGCGTCTTTGGTGTATGCAGCAGGTAGCCACCTCTCGTTTAGTTCTTGAAATGTCTGCTAGATGGCGGTACTTTTTTATGACCAATATCAGAACTTGGCATCGAAGCCACCATTGAGAGAAGGGAAAAACAACGTGTCCCACATGAATGGAGGCAGGACTTCGTCATCAAACCACTTCCACGTCACATGTATACTCAGTTCCACGGACATCGACGTCGGGCACGGGCGAAATTTCATGACGACTACTCAGATACTGAGGGTTCCTTCTTTGTCGATGCAGCTGGCAAATATACGACAAGCCTCTTCATTGTGGAAAACAGGTTGATTGTATATCAGCATAGGACACGGACACAACTAGTTAGGAAGAAGCAGGAATCGCCCTCGCGCTACAAAACCCAAGGTCCACATTAGTTCTAACAGATTCAAAAGCAGCCTACCAACATTTTTGTAACAGCTACATTGTTCCCATTGCGCATCAACTTCTTACACGACTCTCGTCCTGACGCTCAGAGGGTGAATGGTAGCAGCTGATATGGATACCCGGCCACTGCGGAGTTAGAGGCAATGAGCTCGCCCATGCCTCGGCCCCAGAATTACTCTTCCGGACCTCCAACCCGTTCCTAACATACACAGATATTCTAGAACATCAAAGACTCGAAAGACGAAAACTTCCGCCCCCGGAACTAAAGCTCTGTAAAGAATCTCAGGTATCGTGGCATCGCCTGCAGACCTTGCCTTACCCCGATCCATACATACTGTCCAAGATAGATCCCGACACATACGCACCACAGTGCAGGTCCTGCGTCGCTAAAACAGCCATATTACGTGCCACTCCCGCACTTGCACGTGCCATCTCCCGAATATTCGGTAGTCGTCGTAATAGTAGGTAGCCACCAAGGAGGATAGCCGCTGCCACGGCCGGACTAGAGGAGTGGCACGCGTGCACTCTTTTGAATCGAGGAGGAACCCCGCATACGTTAATCATAAAAAAAGATAGTGGTTTCTGATTAAAAAAAAACTGGGGATCCTTAAGCTTCGCCTTTAAGAGTTAAACGCGATAGTGAAATCCGGCCCCTAGCGCATCCTTCAACTACTAAGTGCATACTTATTCATATGTTTTGATACATACAGACGCACGCACATGAACCCACACACAGCAGATTGGGCCAGCGCGCGCTGTTATCACCGAATAGGCTCGTTTTCGTCGTGACACCTGTCGAACAAATTGCGTTAAAGGGGCCCTGAAACACTTTTTCAAGTAACCATGGAATGAATTCACTGTAAAAGCTTATTGGCTCACGAATTCAACGCCACAAAAATTTTAAGAATCCGTCCAGTGCGAGTGGAGTTACAAAGGTTGGTCGCATGCTGCAATTGCATTATATCTTCCGTCGTCCCGGCGAAAGCGCTGGAAGCTAAGCAGGGAGGGGTGGCAGCGCAAAGAAACTACCGTGCCTCGTGACCTTGGTCACTTCTTTATTTCTTCGAATGCGTGGATTATCAGTGTGATCGCGCGCGCACGCGTGAACAAGTAGCGGCCTCCCGCGGCCATCTCAGTAACCTGATTTTTTGGTCACAGACGTACAGACAATTTTTAGCTCACAACCAACAGGGCCGATTCCGGTGCCAGGTTTTCTGCGACACGAGCTCTCTACGCTATCGCCATAAAGTAACATAGTAAACTGTTACTCCATGCTATCGCGTTAAAAAGTGGGTATAACAATTTATAGTAGCCGCTACCCTACTATGGGAGAGCACAAAGCCGTCCCTCACACGTAAATGCTGCTTAACAGCGGCAGCATGAGGCACCTGAAAACCCAACGACGTGTTGAAACTGTCACTAGAACCAATCTCGCACAGTAAAATAATGCTATCCTAAAGAGCCTCCATCCTTTTTCTGGTTGATAGGTTAAATTACTTTGCATATCCGATCACCATAACTTACATGAGCACTGTGAATAAATTACAGCCCTTGTTACGTGCTTTTAGTTGTGTCTTTTATGCTAATGCTTGCAATACATGCGCCACTTGCTCAGTGAAGGTGAAATATTTGCGACTAATAGAAACCGAAAGAAGGTCGCATACATGTCGAATGTACTGAAATGGCCACACGACAAACGGACATCAAAGAGGATTGAAACAAAACGTGGCCACCACGCATTAGCAGAGCCAAGAATGAGAATAGAGAGAGAGAGAGATAGGTTGAGGGAACAAAAAGACGCAACCTCTGCATACCTAATTGGGAGCGCTGCTCAGCGCATGTAGCGGTGGGGTGAGGGTATTAAAGATGTGAGGAGAGAAGAAGAGAAAAGGCGTCCGTGACCGACGTCTTTTCTTCTCTCTACCAAGAATGAGAAGACAGTGGTGCGGTGTGGCGGACATTTCCCTCCTCCTTTCTCTCCTCGTCTTTTTGCTGCCTCCTTGCTGCATCATATACCATGCATTGCATTTGCATGCTTTACCCTCACCCCCCCCCCCCGCCTCGTTCGTTGCTTCTCACGCTCAAACGGCTTCCCTTTTTTTTCCTCACTCACGCTTCTGCCTCGTGGTGTACTATGTTCGGTGACGCACTCATATAGTATTAGGTACCCATATATTATTACAATGGAAGTCTTGACACGAAGTGACGCATATATAAGGTGGTTGTTCTGTCTGCAGCAGTGTCAAACACTTTCGTGACCTGGTAGAACAATCTAAACAAAGTTTTCATTATAGTTATATTGCGTTTATTTCTTTATTTATTTATTTATTTATTTATTTATTTATTTATTTATTTATTTATTTATTTATTTATTTATTTATCGGCACCCATTTGTTCAGTAGAGATGGTGACGAGCAGTATTTTTTTTTCAGTCTATGCAATAAAGTTTATGCCAGGCTTGAATAGCACCGTGGTTGAAAATTTTGGACGAGGCTTGAGCTTCGCCTTCGAGAGTTTAACCCGATAGCTAACTCTCGCCCCGCTAGCATGGACTTCTCGATCGCCAGCCTGGCCTCGCTTCTCGGTGCACGCACCATAAAATGGCACCGCAAATAAACAAATGTTTGTGCGCCTAACGCTAACTACCTTAGAACCCCCCCTGCGAGGGCTGTTGCGAAGGGCCTACTGCGCCATAATTGGTGCTTTTGCAAACTGGCGACATATCCACTACGCATCCGTTCCATGCCGCACGTACTTCAAAGCTGCCCGCTTTCCAGTGGGTGGGCAGCTTTAAACCACCCGTCATCATCAACATCATCAGCAGCAGCACTAGCAGCTGCAGCAGCAGCCTGACTATGCCCACTTCAGGGGCAAATGCCTCTCCCATGTTCTACCAGTCAACCCGGTCTTGTGCTTTGTGCTGCACCGTTATACATGCAAACTTTTTAATCTCATCAGCCCACTTAACTTTCAGTCTCCTAATCGCGCTTTCGCCTTCTCTAGTAATCACTCATCAACTTAGCTTGTGATAGTGCGGCAGACACAAGATGTAAACACGACCCAGACGTAAAGAGAAAAGGAGGCGCTGATCTTCCGACTGTTTGTTGCATAGCCTTCACATCCTTCTCGCACGCGCGCTAAAAAAACCAGAGCTCATCTTGCATGTGATCTAAATTCAAGAAACATCTTTTCTTTTCCCGTTAAGGCAATTCCTTGCGAACTCACACAAGTTCCTCGTTTCTACTATAGCTGCGGCTTCTTTTATTTCACGCATGAGCGGATTCCAAAACCAGCCGATAACGACGCATTCATACAGATTAAGGGAGCTCATTTCAACTCATCCGAGGTTCAGCGACTTTTCAAGAGCCACTTAGTAGCGCAATTAACGTGTTTTGACACCTGACGCCATTCTATGATTATTTTACGCTATGTTAGACGCGTTATGGAGACACCTCCCACTAGATGAGATTCTTATAGTCAGTGTGGTGTTTTTTTTTTTTTCACGCAGCGTTTTCAAGCAGTGGAAGTGATCCGAGCTGAAACACCTGCTTGCCACAAAACAGATTTCAACACAGCCCTAGAACTTATGTTTAAATCATTGCATCGTGCCTATCAGGACTTTTGCTGATGTTTCACCATCCATCATTCTCGAATTTCAGCTGATCGACTACGCCTACTTTTTGCTCACAACCGACAGCACGGACGCCGACGCCAACTCTGACGCCGACACATGAATGCCCGTGAAACGAGCTTTTTAACGATGTAGCGTTAGAAGAGTCCAGTGAACCCAAGCACACTACTGATAGATGTTATATTCCCTATACACAAGCTTCCACGGTGAAAAACAAGTAGTCATCTCATATGCTGTTTTCGGCTCTTATCCCCTGTCGCAACTACGACTCTAGCTGTAATTTCAAGCCGTACGTGCAGTGAGTGACATAACGACGCTGTCTGCTTGTTTTCTCTGCGAGAACCAAGTTGTGTAAAAACAAACGCGGACCTCATGTCTAAAGTGACTTGACAGCGTGCTTTTTCTGAACACACTTGAATACGATTGCACCTCTAACTTCTTTATACACCGTGGCAAACGGGCTGCGCTTTGCTTTCTTCTCTGATGTATCATAGCCTCCATAGTTTGCGGCTAGTTTGACTACTGAGAGGGAGTTCACCGCAAATTTACACGGCAACCTACTGATCACCCGACCACCATCATGCAGTTTAGTCCACTCTGCTTCTCCAAGAACGACGCCAAAAGAAGTCAACTCAGCGTCTACGCTCTGAAGAAGGTGTGCTTCCAGGGTGTCTTGACCAAGGAGCATCAAGTGATAGAGATAGGATGAGTCACGGGTCACTTTGCCCGATGGTTCCTGCTGCCTCACTGCCAACCCTGCCGAAGGCTAGTCGCCACGGACTTGCATCCAGAAATGCTACAGTTCGCGACCGAACGCTTCTCCGACCGGGACATTGTGCATGACGTCCTCGACATCGTAACACCCGACCTCGACCCATTCCTGAAGAAGTACGGCAAGTTCCAGAGGGCATTTGCTTTCCTGGTGTTTCACATGATCCGAGACCAGAGTGCTGCCTACGGGAACATCGCGAAGCTGCTGACCGACGACGGTGAATGTCTCGTCGTAGCGGACTCCAGCTATGGCCTAATGGACCTGTGGAAGGATGTTTACGATAGCGACAATTGGAAGGGAGTCATACAGGTAAGCACAAATAAAACTCTCAGTGCTGCTCTTAAGAGTACACCTTCTTTTCCTACTCCTTTTTGCTAAAAGCCTTGTGTTGTTGCTCGTTTTCGAAATTACATGCGGAATGATCCCAAGCCTACCCATTCTTGCACAAAATACAGAAAAAACTGTTTGAGAATATGTGAGCTTGTGTGTGTGTGTGTGTGTGTGTGTGTGTGTGTGTGTGTGTGTGTGTGTGTGTGTGTGTGTGTGTGTGTGTGTGTGTGTGTGTGTGTGTGTGTGTGTGTGTGTGTGTGTGTGTGTGTGTGTGTGTGTGTGTGTGTGTGTGTGTGTGTGTGTGTGTGTGTGTGACATATACTTGATGTGAGCTATTATACACTCGATACTGGAAGATATGTTACTTCCTACGTTCCTCTGCACTATAGCGCTACGAAAGTTGGGCTGCCTGATTATTTTGGCATTCCGCCGCACTCACCCGAAGCTACGACCTCGTCCTAAAATTCAGTCAGTATAATATTGTGCTTGAACGTCACTTCCTACGTCAGCATAGGAACCATTTTACCATCAAATGTCCTTTACGGAAGTCAGCATATAATCACCTCAAAGCGTATTTCGTTGGCACTCACGAAGCAATGTCGTCATTTTGTGTTGTGGTTGTCCTTTGCGCCACGTCCTTATCCGCGTCTTACTCTTCCTATCACTATTTCCCCTGCAAGTTTTTTGCCGTTGTAAACCATCGCTGCTTTCTTTTGTATCCTAAATAAGTGGATCACGCAAGGAACAGAATATCATCAATGATGTATCCATATTATTTCACGATCCTAGATAATGTCGTTGGCACCTGTCCTCCCAACGCTAATCATGGAAATAGAGACAGGACACCTTATCGTTGTCAGATGCATAATCAGCACACTGCCATCGCCTATTATGTCGCTGCAATCATCATCATGCTACTGACAATGACGACATTATTGCTGTCATTGACGTCACACAACACTGCGTGATGAGTCACTGACTACATTCAGAAGACACGCTGTCGGTGGTGTCCATCTCGCCATTTTGCGCGACCTTTTACACTGACATCACTAGCATTAACGAAGTTTTGTGTCCTACTATTCCCGCGTTCTACTTACTTCCTCGCAGGACCCAAGAAACGTTCTCAGTGGCTGTTTCAACTTCAACCGTGTCAAGACGGCGACCCAGGTTGAATTCGAAGTCAGGGACACACTATACGTGGTACCGGATCGGACTGTATTTCCTGCGAGGTGTACGACACTATATGGAAGTACGACAAGCGTGGATTCTGCCATTGGTTAGTGCTCTCGTTTTCACAGAAACAAGCTTTCTTAATTATTGCTTGGAAGCAGGATCTGTATTGTAGTGCTCTCATCAGGCCCCTAGCCATGGGTGTGCCTTATGTTTTGGATCATGTAGTGTATCAATGTTGTTTTCCTTTATTGACCTTTCAGATATGTTCCTAACTGTCGCTCCGTTCAAGAAAACTGTTCCCGTGGAAAGGTGGGTAGAATTCAAGAACCTTGTGGCGGGAACTTGCGGGTCGAAAGATGTTCCATACGCCGGGACAGCTTTGGAAGTGAAGCACCAGCTCTGCGACGTTCACGCTCGTCTCTCCAGTAGGGTCAAGAAGTAAATCGTAATTTGCCATTGTCTCCATGGCAGAGGTAATAGCTGAGAACTATTGTAGCAAGCAGGGCTGGGCAGTATTGTTACACAATAATATCGCAATAGAATTTTAGAGGGGCTTTTGAGTGTCTGTAATTCTGTGTCGGGATACACTTGAAGAATTTATTTGTATCTCAGTAAATGAATACCTTTACAATGTCTCGATCATACCACAGTGATTTACCCCTTTAAATCGACAGTATTTGATTTCAGGGTTTACCACGAATCCACAAACGCCACTTCTATCCCGGAACTGCATTCCGCAAAATGTGCAAGAGCAAATGACAAAAATAAAAACAGAAGAAAGGTTTTGTTGATTTGGATGACCTTGGCATCTAACCTGTGACATTTCTGTCCACGATAATAAGCATTCTATCACCTGCACTCTACCAACGCGCTTCAAGCTTCGATCTCCTCGCCTGCAGGATCAGCCGACGCAAGCAGATCAAAACTTGGAGCGCGTTGGCCAAACACAAAGGAACCACGAAAGAAACACCCACAGAACACAAGCGTACTAGCAACGTTAACATCTCGGTACTTAACGAGCCAATAGCGCCCTGAACTAAGGGCTCCGCCAACGAATACAATATTTTAGGCCTACTTAAAAAAAAAAGATTATCTTTCTGCCTCACCAGCCGCATTACATACGGCACGCCGTACCTGAATTTGAAAACCGCTGAAATTGAAAAACTTAATATCATGATAAGAAAGGCCACTAAAGTAGCCCTGGGACTTCCGCCAATGGCCTCTACCACACGTCTCCTATAGATGGGTGTCCACAACACGTGGCAAGAGCTCATCGAAGCGCATAGGAACAGTCAGCTGGAGAGGCTCAAGCTGACGACCACGGGGAGTTCGGTGCTCCGGTACCTCAACTACAGCGACACGTTCATCGCCGATGCAGACCAGGAAAAGCGCATCCCGCTGTACATTAGAGAGTCGCTGTCCATCGCACCTATTCCACGCAACATGCATCCTACTTTCCACAAAAGTAGACGCAAGGCTAGAGCTGACGCTATTCGACGAAAGTTCAAGCAAGACCCGGACGCCCGCTACACTGATGCGGCCAAGTATCCGCATAGAAACGCGCACGCTGTCAGCGTCGTCGATTCTCAAGGCCGAGAATTAGCGTCGGCCACGGTCAACGCACTCAATTCAGACGCCGCAGAAGAATCGGCAATCGCTCTAGCAACCACAACATGTACAGACGCCGCGGTGATCTTCACCGACTTACAAGCCGCAGGAAGTTTGGCATTCCGCCTGCAGGAATTTTGCTAAGGGCCGTATCTCACCCAATGCCATCAATATTTTGAAACGGCGAAGCACTCCACTCCCATACACTTGTGTATTATGGGGGCCAGGACACGAGGGTCTGCAGGGAAATGAAGCGGCCCACGCCGCTGCCCGCGAGCACGTCAGCCGGGTTGCCCCCTGCCCACAGGACATTCGACCCGTCGTTGAAGAGACGGAAGTTGTTCAAAACACCTACTCGTCGTTACTCCAGCATTACAGCTGGAGCGACGGGTATACCCTCCACCACCCCCAAAACTGACAAAAGAGGAAAGCGTAATACTGAGACGCCTGCAAAGCAGCACATGCACACATGGGGCCCTAATGCACCGTCTCTACCCAACGAGATATAGCTCTATGTGCCCGCTTTACAACGTAGCGGACACCCTGGCGCACTTGCTTCTTGCATGCCAGTGTATTGCCAGACGTAATCTGCCACAACACACGACTGATAACGAAGCAGGACGAACGAACGAAGACCTAATCGAAACGTGGGAGGCGAAGCTCACCCTCGAGGACCTGGAAGAGCAACAACTCGTCGCCAGGGCCAAGAGGGCAGTAGAAGCCAGAGGGTTCGTGGACTAAGGAGCCCTCCCACTTCAAGGTGACACCGGGCATTGCTCGGGGCACTGTTTCAAAATAAACGTCTACTTCTCTCTCTCATCTTTCTGCCTTGATCTGCTTGCCGTTTTTCGCGTGACATCCAAATATGTTGCTATCGCATCAATTGCTTCGCCCTTGTGGCGAAACTGTGGCTTTTTTGTTCGTTAGATAATGAAACAAACTTGCAATAAAGCCAAGGAATATTTAAGAAGCATCATTTGTACTTTTTTGAACAACAATATTATGCTTACATTTACAATTTTAAAAAAGTACAGTGGATGAAAAGACAACCACCCGGTGGTAGTGACCAAACCTACAACATTCAGGTGTAGGCTCACAAAATTGGAGATTCGTTGTGAAGGTTGTATAGTTTCGATGCGAAGATTTTTGGTTCTATCCTTAATGGTCACATGTTTTATCTTTTGATTCCCTTTAATTTTTAAACTTCTTTAGATCTTTAACCTAACGACTACAACTCAAGAACTACGAATAGCGTCTGTTTCACCTCACTTATTTTTATTGTCTGTTGCTTTTTCAGGTTGTGTGTAACAAAAAAAGAAGTCCCTAATTGGTTCCTTTTTTCTTCATTTCTGTTCTCATTTGAAAACGGAAGCCTTATATGACTCCCCAAACGCAGAAAGTCCCCGACGCACACCGGTGGCGTCAGTAGCAGCGACACAAGAACGATCGTCATGTAGTGACGTCACCCTGTGAAGTCATCACAATGTCACATGCCAAAAATGTGTGACGTCATCATGACAGTCGCCTTGAGGTAACGTCAAGTGGCATTACGTTGTCCCGTCATCACAAGACACCATCGTTCGGTATGGGGTGGGCCGATATCGGAGGCGCCATGAGGCCAATGCTGATCTAGAAAAATATTTTCAGGCGTTCTCACTGCTGCCGGAACGTCACTCGTTTTGCCCGAACGAGCGCGCCTACGGGAGGCTGTGAATCTATTGCCACCATTCGTCTCCCATTAAAAGATGGCGGGTTCGCTGGTGAGGCTTAAACTATTTACAGCTTTATTCTGCCTTTTGCGTCAAAAGCGAGCGAGAATATGTAATTTACTATGCTTGAAAGCGTTTGGAGATATATCTGTGAGCCATTCCACAAAAATTTAAAGGCTATGTGTTATCGAATGAGTGGTCGATCTAAAGGAGCACAGTATGATGGACCAACAAAGTGACAAAATAAATAAGGTAAATTTTATTCATTCCTTTATTTGTTTACACACACACACTATAGACCTTGCAGAAAAACTGTTGCTACTGATCTGCTAAGTTTCTGCAGTTTTATTCGCACTCTTTCAAACATCAGTCTTCATAGATGGGTAGTTCTTGAGGATAGTGTGTGTTGCTGCCACAAGTGAGTAATTCAGCACAATATGAGGGTGATGACCATTGGGAGAGAAAAAAATCTTTTCGTTTGACGAAAATCTATTGTCACCGGCACAAGGAGCGGCGTTTCCTCTTTTGCTCTGGCCCCTCTCGCAGTGTCGCTCATAACTTAGGGTCTGGGGAAAATCTTAGTGCTGGTTCTTGATTAAACCGTGTAGCCTCCGTGGGCCCTTCTACTGAACTGACGGTTCTTGGATCAGTATATTTGGTAGCGGTTGTTAAATATTCTATCTTAAAGTAGAGCTCACACACCTGAAAATCATTTAAGAAATCGCTTTACCGTGTGTAGACGCATCTAAATTTGAAGGAAATATATGAGGCTAAAGTGCTGGCGAGACTTGAACGAATTGATAATACCGCAATGAGGTGGTTAGAAAACCGACAAGAAAGTACCATGCACAAATCCTATGCACTAAGCAATGCAACAGCATTCCTTTCATTTTTCTCAGCCAAGTAAACAGAGGTTATGTAAGAAGTCTACGGCGCTAATCACCAATAGTAAAACATTTACCAACCTTGAAAGAAAAAAGCCTGTTCTGAAAACATCCTGCCACTCGTGTTTGTTGTTTTATTGCCAGGGCTTACGCCAACTCAGAAGCACACATGACACCTTTATTATAGAGCAAAATGGAACATGGTGTAGATGGTGCCAGTGGAACGGCTTAGAAATATGCAGTACGAACACACTTACTTTCGAGTCACGAATAAAACAGATGTCGACGTCAACTTGACGAATGACGTGCTCCCATTTTGTTCTTCAGTTTTTCTTTGAAAAAAAAATTCCGCCATATCCACGAAGTGAATGATGATGAGTGGGCGAAGCTCCGGAGGTAAACCTGGTAAACCATGAATCCTCTGTACATTTTGCCCACTCGATTTTATTACATCGCTCCCCCTAGCGTACGTCGCCGCACTAAATCGAACGATTGCCTTCAACCAATGACACGCGCCATATGTGACATCATTCCTATTTTATAAGATCTCGCGTCTTTCATCAACTACAAGTACCGCTTTCTAGTTTATAACATCTTGCATCTTTTCATCATCAGCTACAAGTACCACCATCTAGTAAACACTACAATAACTAAACGAGAGGTGGCTACATACAGGAGACGGTACCGCCATCTAGTGAACACTGCAAGAACTAAACTAGAGGTGGCTACATACAGGGGACGGTACCGCCATCTAGTGAACACTGCAAGAACTAAACTAGAGGTGGCTACATGGATGGATGGATGGATGGATGGATGGATGGATGGATGGATATGGCTGCACCCTTTAGATCGGGCGGTGGCTAGCGCCACCAAGCCGTAATACGTAATGAACCAAAAACTATATTTTTTTTCCTTAAAAAGTGAATTTGAGGATTCGTACTTTGCAGTGAAGAGTTTAATTTTCACTCGTGCCTTGACTTTAGCCACCAATCACATAACCTCCTTCTAGTTAAGTCTACCCGCTTAAAGTTTATTTTGCCCTCCCGGTCCCTAAACCCCAGTGCTTTGAAAAACTCTGTGTCATCATCCTGAACTATAGGGTGAAGCCCTTTACAGAACATTATCAAGTGTTCGGCAGTTTCTTCTTCCTCTCCACACGCACTGCATACTGTGTCTACCCCTTCGTATTTGGCCCGATATGTCTTGGTTCGCAGTACTCCCGTCCTGGCCTCAAACAGTAGAGAACTACCCCGAGTATTATCATAGACCCTTTCCTTTGCAATTTCCTGCTTAAAAGTTCGATAGATCTCTAGTGCGGACTTCTTAATCATGCCCATTCTCCACATGTCAGTCTCCGTTTCCTTCACTTTCTTCTTAACCGATAGTTCTTTTTGGTTTGGCCACCTGCTGTTTTCTAAGTATTTACCAGTCAACTTCCTGGTTCGCTTCCTCTATTTTGTATCGACATTCTTCATGTACAAGTAGCTGAAAACCTTCCTAGCCCAACGCTCTTCCCCCATTTCTCTCAATCGTTTCTCAAATTTTATCTTGCTGCTAGCTTCCCTGCCCTCAAATGATGTCCATCCCATATCACCTTGTACTCCCTGATTTGGTGTATTCCCGTGAGCTCCTAAAGCAAGCCTACCTATTCCACGTTGCTTAATTTCTAATCTTGCTAGAACTTCTGATCTCATGCACAAGACCGCATTGCCGAACGTCAGCCCAGGAACCATGACCCCTTTCCATATTCCTCTCACAACATCATACCTATTGTAATTCCACAGTGCTCTATTTTTCATGACTGCTGCATTCCTGTTTGTTACCTTTAGTCGTCACGTATATTTCGTGTTCCCTCAGATACTCGGTCCCATTGCTTATCCATACGCCCAGATATTTGTATTTATCTGTTATCTCTAGCGTGACCCCCTGTATTCTAAGCTCACTACCTTCATTGTCATTGAAAATCATGACTGCAGATTTTTCCTTACTGAATCTAAAATCTAACCTATCTCCCTCATTACCGCAGATGTCCATCAATCTCTGCAAATCTTCCTTGTTGTTGGCCATTAGTACTATATCATCTGCGTACATTAATGCTGGTAGTGCCTGATCAATAAGTTTTCCTTGTTTGACTAAAGAGAGGTTGAAGCCCAGTTCACTTCCCTCTAATTTTGCCTCTAATCCTTGTAGGTACATCATGAATAATAAGGGTGACAGGGGGCACCCCTGCCTAAGCCCCCGTTTCACCTCTGCAGGCTTGGATACCTGTTTTTCCCAATTTATAACTACCTACATACAGGGGACGGTACCGCCATCTAGTGAACACTGCAAGAACTAAACTAGAGGTGGCTACATACAGGCTACAGGGGACGCACAGCCCACGCCCTAAGGAGCTTCGCCCCTAAAAAACGAGAACACTTGCAACTTCGGTCTCCTTGCCATGACAACTCACCACGCAGCATCGCCCAATCGTTCCGTTTTGCAGCCGTTCAGATTGTGAATATTCAGTGCACAAAGTGCATCGCATATCCACGCTGCAGTTCATATGGACACACAAAAACACGTTCCCGAGTGGCAAACAAGCACAACAGCACGCGACGAAAACGTTCGTCAGGCTTGGCAATCCGTGTCTGTCGAGTGACGAGAGCAAGCATACACACGTCTGTGTAGTGAAACACACCGGTCTAAACAGAGTGACCTCAGAGCCCGTGGCAGAAACAGTGAGCAGGTCTTAAATTGTCTAAGTGGCATTGGTGAGGCTCGCATAGCTTGCAATGCCTACGATCCCGGAGGTCACAGCCTCCAGGATTGGAGGTATACGGGAAACCACACTATGGGCAGAAAGCTTTCGGAAGGGAGGGAAAATCAGCGCAATCGAGTTGGAGTTACAATTAATGCCGCTTGACACAAGTGGTGCCAAGACTGAGTTAAGGAAGTGAGCCTTTGGGCAGTCTTACTTTTCATCATCATTATAATCATCATCACTCTTCCTTTCAAGTTCGTATTAGTACATGAAAGTACTTAGCACAGTTGGACGCATAGCCCATAATGGCTCGTAGGGGATAAATTAACCTATGCATTTAAAGGAACAAATTCTTTAAACGAACCAGATGTAAAAGTCTACTTTTTTTCTCCTCGGTGTTGTCTTTCTTTTTCTCCCGGTCTTTTCTGTTCTCTTTTCCCGTGTTTTTTGTCCCTTTTACGTCTTTATTTCTATTTATTTAGAACAAGGGGAAGAATAATTGTCTTTGGTACGAGCACGCACTGCATATGGTTATGCCATGCGTGGCAAGCGCTACGTAAAGCGACAACTACAGCACACGGTTACATCCTTTGTAAGCACAGCCCCTTGAACTTCTCCGCACTAAGAAGGCAAAGAAGATATCTTTTTCCTTACAGGCGTCTTTCTTTCTTCTCACATGCCACCGCTTCGCCTTACTGCGCCGAATAATTCTTGAAAGACCAATTGGTATGCTCGGATTGCCAGTCAATCCACCCTATTATCGTTTGGAGCCAGTCAGTTGGGTGTGGGCCGCAGTGCTATTCTGTCAGCGCTACATAAATTCATTCAGGCAACCGGAAGGACACGCTGCTGGTGGTACTTCCAGATATATCCAATTCTTTGTCCCCCTTCCTCATTCTTGTTAATTTGTTTTATATATTCTGGTTTATCGAATTCTTTTGCACTTTTCCACGTTTTTTTTAAAGGAAAATTATTATTGTTCTTTTCTAATTTCTCTCTTTATTTTTAGCGAGCGTTGTATAAAAAAATATCTATTATAATGTACAGTGTGGCCAATCCCCCTTGTGGGTATGAGCCAAGATCTCCTAGGCGACAAGACAAGACAAGGCGTCTTGGGCGGTAGTTGCTTAGCCTACGTAATATGCCAATGGCCCGCACTCCTTTTCGGCGATATATTCGATATGAGGTCGCCAGTTAAGCGACGTGTGATAAATTACTCCAAGGTATTTAACAGATTCCAGCTGTGGTAAGCAACTACCGCATAGGTATGAGAAGAGACACATTGGTAATGATATATCGCATGTACGTTCGTCCCATTTTGGAATTTGGATGTGTACTTTTCTCTGGAGTTCTAGCTTACAAGTTGCGGCCTCTAATTCTTCTGGAAAAAGAAGCTTTGCGCTTATGCCTTGGCCTTCCCAAAATAGTTGCCAACAATGTGTTGTATCTCGTATCGAGGGTCCCTCCGTTTTCTTGTAGAATTCGCCTTCTGACTGTTCAGACATTCTTAAGAATTTATGAATCATCGTTATGACATTCAGAAACAGCCTTTATTTCCACCCCGGAATCATTTTTTTCTGCTAGATGGCCGCGATTTCACACGCCACAAATTATATTTGTGCAAAATTTACTGGAGCCTCTAAACGTACCTATATGCGACATCATGCTGAGTCGTGATAATTCAGCCCCGGTGGAAATTCAATTCGACGACATTTTTTCTAATAATGCCAAATTACTTCCCCATAATATTTTGGATAGTTTACTACCAGATCACCTGCGCCGTATTACAACGAACGTTATTATTGCTACAGACGCATCGCAATACGACGAAAAGTCAGGGGTTGGTATTTTCAGCCCGATTTTAAATTGGATTTATTCCCTTCGACTACCCGAATTCATACCCGTTTTTGTGGCTGAGTTTCTGGCAGTGGTGCTCGCCTTACGCAAGTTAGATACAGCAATTACATCAGCTGTCATAATAACAGATTCCCTATCTCTCTGTGCGGCACTTTCTGTTGGTGCTGATAATCAAGTAACAAAGGCGTTCCGTGCACTAGTACCTGCGCATTTGAGAAAAGTACGATTAGTTTGGGTGCCTGGACATAAAGGTTTGTTTTTAAATGAAATAGCCGATTCCTTAGCTAAGTCGTCAATCAGCGAACCAATTTTACCACTCTGTCCATCATCCGCTTATGTGACTGCTGCTCGATTCCGCAGACGTACGCTTATGCAAATCTTTAAAGGTTCAGCACTAACAAACTCTACAGAATATCGCCATTTATTATATCCCTGGCGAAGAGACTTTTGCCGCACTCTAAAACAAGAAGTAGCTATCACAAGGCTGCGTTGCCGGGTACCAAATCTAAATTTCTATAAACACAGGTCTGCTCAGGCACCTTCGCCACTGTGTGCATTCTGTGATAAACTGGAAACAATAGACCATTTCTTTTTGACCTGCAGGCGGTTTAACACATTACGAAAAACCCTATTAGAAATACCTTTCCGTGGTATTGGTATGGACTTATCTCTGCCTGTCATTTTGTCTTTTGGAGCTTCCATTTCTGGTTTCTCTAATGCGACAGTATGCGCGACCGTCCGGGACTATATTGATGAAACTAATAGGTTGACTAATTAACCAGTTTCATTATCCTAACAGGTCCACATAATTATATACGTATAAAATCATATAATTGCTCTATTCTAAGAATAAATTCGTTTATGTAAATATTTGCATGCATTACATTAAGCAACATACTTTCCTAGGCTATCGGTAATCTTTCTGTTAAACCTCCATCATTCAAAATCTGAACAGTAAATTTTGAAACCACTCGATTCTTGGCCAATCCCTCACAGTGAGTATGCGCCACTTACAATAGGAGAACAACAACAACAGCGTCTTGGGCGAATGCATACGCTTTGTGAGTTTTATTGGTACTCTTCAGCAGTCGCATGCCGACGGTGTGAACAGGCTCGTCCGGCGCAGAGTCATCAGTGGCACTCTCCCTTGGACACGCACTTATCGTCCGAGCGTCGGTAGAAGCCGTCCTTACAGAAGCAGCGACTCACTAAGTCCAGGGTGCAGGGTCTGGGTCCGTTTTCTGGGTCACCGCATTTGTGCTCACCGCAGCTGCTGCTCTGGTTTTCCTTGTACACCTCGCCCTCGCCGCACTTCCTCCCTTCTGAAAGATTAAACCTCGTTCAGGTACACACCGTCATGGCCAACTACTCTAACTTGGTTACAACTTTTAAAGAAGTGCATGTTCCCCCATGAACCCCAATTGAGTGATCGATTGATTGGTTGATTGATATGTGATGTTTAATGTCCCAAAACCACCATATGATTATGAGAGACGCCGCGGTGGAGGGCTCCGGAAATTTCGACCAACTGGGGTTCTTTAACGTGCACCCAAATCTGAGCACACGGGCCTACAGCATTTTCGCCTCCATCATCCACAAACCACAATAACCACTAGACCACTATGGCGGCTCACCTGAAACAACAAAGTTGGCTCAACAGTGGCGTCAAAATCACTGACGAAATTTAATAGGATGCTGAATTTTTTTACGTATAACCAGCATCACGAACTTCTATGTAGTCAGCGCGGCAGCGCCACCAATAGCCATGATGGCGAGTGTGAAAATCTTTTTTTCAGCCTGTTTGGTGTCACGTAGCACGGAATCTCATAACAAGCTGGCACTCTGGCCTTCGTCACGAATGATGGTGCAGTTTGTTGGTGATCAGCACAAACAAACTGTACCCTATATCCTGATGAAGGCCGGACTCTGGCTGAAACGTCGAAATAAACCACGTTGTGACTGCTCGCGGAGGACCACCATGCCTATATATATATATATATATATATAATGTTCTGTTGCAGCTACCGCCATGGCGAAGAGAAGGAAAAAGAGGGAAAGAGGGAAACGATAAGGGGAAAGAAATAGGGGATAAGGTTACTGCTCTGATGAATAACAACCGCCATCTTTACTGCTGCACTGTTTTTCATTGTAAATAACTTGTAAATATATTCACAACGCAATATGTACAGGGTGACCCAGCAATCTCTAGTTTAATTTAAAAACTTGTTGACGCATGCATAATTTATTGCATGTTCCTGAGTGTTGCATAAAATAGGATTCTTGTTCCTTTCTTAATTACCTAATTAAGCGATTTTATTAACTAATTTATGAAGCAGCGAAGCTGGGAACAATATGCAATTAGAAAACGAGACAGTTATAGATCAGTTTGCAAAAAATCCGAATGGAATGTTCGAGCTTTTTAATCCTTCTAAATGTCCTAAATATTTATTATAAGAAACGCGACATGACTGACGTTCCATCTTACTCGCTTACGCACGCCGTGATTGCGAGGCGCCCTAACTGTCTGCGCGCAAACAACTGCAGCATTTGGCCGAGTAAGCTGTCTCGACAGGACTGCGATGATGGCGGTGGTTCTGCGGTGACGCGCGTTTTGCTAGCGGCAACACAAGCCATAACCGTTGCGTTTTCTTATCGCTGTCATGAACGTCCGCAAAAGCAGCATAATTTTCATACGCGACACGTTAGGGAGCCCATAAACCATCGCGTTCACAGACACGCAAGCGTGAATGTCACTTTGTATCTTCGGTACGTCGTGTGCATCTATGGTAAACATAAAAACGCTGATTTTTGGTGGACAGAAGGTTAGAAACTTTTCAGTTCAACGTTCGGGGAATCAATTTACAACTCTCTCATGGGAATTTTATTCCCAGCTTTATCGCCTCAAATTAGTAGTAGTAGTAGTAGTAGTAGTAGTAGTAGTAGTAGTAGTAGCAGTAGTAGTAGCAGTAGTAGTAGTAGTAGATGGTTTTGTTGTTGATGATGATCAGAACAGAATCATTATAAATAGGAGAACTCTCAAACATAGCACTACAAGGTTTTGCAATGCTTTGCAAGAGCAGAGGGCCGTTTTCTTTCAGGTAGCTTCTTGTCATTCTGAAGCACATTCAATTGTAACAACCTCAATTTCAAGCAAAGTATAACAGTTTTAAATATCGCCTGCTTATGGCGCGATCTATATGACATCAGTCTTCTCGACATATCTTATTCCTGCGTGGAATACGACCATCATACATATATATCGTAAGATTTAAGGACATATCTACTTAATGGTATACAGCACATCAGAGGCAAATAGACTTTATCAGCACTAGCACAGTATGAAGTAATGACATTGGAGTGAAAGGACATTGACGATCTGTGGAAAGTATGAAATAAAGGCTTTATGCTTTATGTAGTACATAAAGCCTAAATGTACTACAGTTGGGCCAACGGGTGAAATGTGGCTATAAAATAAGGGCTGCAAATTAAGAGATGTGCCCTAGCATGCTAATGTCGTAGTTATACTGCAGTGCTGATAATCAGTCTACTGTTTGTACGGTTATAGGAAAGCCTCTATACAAATCATACGAGATGAGGCGTCATGCGTCGACTTAAATAGATGCATTTAGTTAACATCCTCGTGTTTTGGATATAGTGATATTTTAGTGCAAATAAGTTCTGCGGGATTCCGCAAGGTGGTCGAAGGGCTACGAAAGGGGTAATTGACAACTATAGCACAGAGTCACCAGTAAACTCAGGTGGTTCGCTCAGAAGTCGGAAGTTGTGATTGCAGAAAATCGTCCCGGTCCTTTAACTAAATTGCTAGGTTCCTGGTTAGTTCGAATGGTATAATGGCTGCTCCGGAAAGGTATCGGTCTCGGGTCCATTTCCCGGGTCAAGCCGAATTTTCTTTTTCAATTAGAAGGCTTCCTTTCCGAGACATTAGAATGAATTTTCTCGTAACAACGGGTGGTTGAGCAACTGACTCTTTCTTGGAAAATCGAGTGAGCCCATCCTTTGAAGACACGTACACAAGAGATTCCGGTGGGTATGGTCTTCGATACTTCTCTTCCCGTGTGCGTTTGTGAATGCTGGGTTGGTTCAATTTCCCAAGCGAAGTATACCAAGACGCACTTCACCGGACTTTCTTTCATACTAGCAAGCTGTCTTTGCAACAATACGAGAGACATGAATAGAACACCATATGGTCAGCGCGAACCAAAAAACCCGGGAGTCGTGAAAGGCAAGCAATTTGAAATCATCAAAGGCAGTAAAACGAACGAAGTCACTGACGCAAACTTGACTGAAGTGTTCATTCGTTCCGACAAAGTTTTACATGTTCACAAAGCTACATCTGCGTAATAAACGGAGCGTTCATATGACGATGGAGCAATCGGCAGTGGGCGTTATTAACATCGAGATCTCAGTGATGCAGCTGTTCAGAATATGCTCTATGTGTTTGTGTGTTTTTATATGTTTATGCGATTTTAGTGTATAACATTACGTTTAGAGCTTTACATCCTAAAGTGACGATGTGATTGTGAGAGACATCGTAGTGGAGGGCTCCAGACATTTCGCCCTCACAGGGTTCTTTAACGCGCACCTAAATTTAAGAGCACGTGCCTCCCTAGCACTTCGCCCCCATCGAAAATGCAGCCGCTGCTTCTGGGATTTGATCCTGCAACCTTCAGGTCGGCAGTCTAGCACCCTAATTATGGGACCACCATAGGGAATGGCTGATTTAGTTCAAGCAAAACCAACTTCTCCTATGTCAAAAGACCCTACACCGACTCTTCCCTTAGACAGGAAAATCAAACAAGAAGAAAGAGGTAGGCTGTCTCGGAATCTCGGTATCCCAGTCAACAAAATGAAGTACGAGCACAACTCACGGGCATAGCTAGCGTGAAGAACTGCGAGCACTGCTGCGGCCACCAGAACTGCCCTGATGTTCGTGCTAAGCAGCATTTTCTCTGGCAAGATGATCTCTTTCCGTGCACCGAACGCCGAGCTTTTTATCAGGCACTGATGACATTTTTTTTTTTTTACTGATGTGTGCATGTGGACTTCCCGCAGCTGCAGTCTTTCGTCCTAACGGCAGGCTACACCCGGAAAAAAAGCGACGGTGGTAGGGAGCACCAACGCTTTACTTGTTCTTTTTGTTGTCACTTGTAGCCGAGCTGGTTGCAGGCGTAAAACCGTGCGAGAAGGCTACAGCCAGCCAGTTACTAGGGGGCCGTCATCACGCAAGGCTAGGCAGACATCAAGCGCACGTGTATACGACAGCTCTCTTCAGCAGATGCGATCCTAGAAGCACCGTGCTGCTGCATCACGTTAGATTCGCCCGTGCACTAACAGCTGTGGTGAAATTACGTTCTCAGATGAAACCGACGAATGAAAAAATTTTTTTAAAAACACCAGGAAATTTTGCGTTTTTGCCGTGGTAACTTCAGTTGGGGAGCTTGTGCTAAAAGTTTGAGCTATACGCTAGATCCGTGTTTGAAAGACCCGTTTTTTTTTTTTTGCTTATGTGGTTGCTTTATAATAACACGCGAGATTAGACGTCCCCAAACCACGATATGATTATGAAAGACGCCGTAGTGGAGTGCTCCGGAAATTTCGACCATCTGGCGTTTTTTAACATGCCGCCATTTGGTTTGATTGTTTCAACGTGGCTGGAGGAGACGGTACACAACGTAGCAGTGGTCGCGTTTAAGTTTGTGTATTGTTAACGCAATGATATGAAAGTATCGTATTCCTTGTTCAGTTTTAACTATTCTGTGTAAAACTTTCGTAATCATCAATAAAAGCGTTGATGGGAACTGATATAGAGATATTGCAAACTTGAGAGTAACCCCTGTCAATTAAATACTGGCATATTTTACATAATTTCATTTCTTTTTCATTCAAACATAGTACTATCATCTACCATGATTAGGCTTTTGTTTTTACTTGGCCAGACGGTGAAATGGAAATATATAATGCCTCTCAACCAGTTAAAATACCAGTAATTAACTCGCATGTTCCCTTATACACGCACCGAAGACTACTGCAAGGCTAAAACATATGCATCCTCTTTTTCTTCCCAGCCGATGTATTCTTCCTGCCACGCCACCTGCCAAAAGCTTTTTGTGCTGAACGTTGTTTTGCATGGCCTTTGCGATCAAAGGCACATCACTTGGTTTTACACGTCCTCCATGATCGGCCTGCCATCGACCAGTAATGTAGCGAACTGGGCTACTACGTCATGACCACTCACCAAGTTGCGATGCCTTGTGATGACGCCAGCGTGCAAAATCCCTTCACGTGATGTCACGAGGATGTCACAATGACTGAATAATGACTTCACATATTTTGCTACATTTGACTGCGTGATAAAGTCACCCGGTGAGGGCTTTTTCTATCACTCGTGGTAGCTTTTTGTATCGCTCGTGTCCACGTCCCTTGCGTGAGGTGCCAGTATGTCAATTTTCGTGTTTGGTCTGGCATATAAGGCTTTCAGCTTAAGATAGTGTTAAAGTGGTAATGTAGGCTGACCTGGTCATCAGGACCTTCAATGTGATGTGTGTGATGCGCGTGGTCAGCGAGTGTTCTCATGCCTCATGCAAAAGAGAATTTTCAGTAGGGTTGTCATTTTAAATGCGAAAAAACTAGATGACCCAGCACGTTATATCTTTGTCGTACACCGAACGTGACGGAGTGAAATCATCCGCGCTATTTATCTTCGAAGCAACATAACCTAATGCAGTGGTGCCAACACCACCTGTGTGCGCACTTCGAATAGCACAATCATGGTAAGACGACACTATGACCACCGGCATTATATTAACGCTCCCCACCTCACTTCGTGTGAAAATATGCCTAGTTACGAAACTATGACAGCATTAGGAAGACCAATCACAGAGCAGAATGTTAAAGTTAGAAGTGGTTGGGAGTGAGGCGAATGAACGCTTAGTATTGTTCTGGAAAAAATTATTGACTCTGAACGTTTTTATTCGTATTACTGCGAAAAACAGTGGTGCATGCTAGTAAACACTTACAGCACAACAATAGCTTTTTTTTTTGAAAAAAAAAAGATGAATGACAAAGGTCACTGGACTCGAGAGGAGGGGGGGGCGTAAATTTTGCTGCAGTAATAGGTTCTAGGGTAACAGCAGCTTGGCTATAGTTGTTTTTCTTACAGCCGGAGCTTACTCCAATTCAGCCGTTAACTAAATCTTCGAATCGTTTCTCTATGAAGTGTCCCTATATTACGGTATATGTACGTGCGCTTAGCTGTCGTGTTCAGAACAAGTGGGTGACGATTTACAGTTCTAGGGGTTCTACTATGGGAGAGCATAGAGCCGTCCCGTGACCCTCATACTTGTTGAGGCCCCGTTGAAAAATATTACGCCGTGAACGAGTTCACGACTACAGGTAGTCAGCACGCCAGCCGACTAGAACCGAGAGTCAAGACGGCCAGCTGAATAGCTCACTGGCGACTCGCTCACCATACCGCTCCTGGAGCCTTTCGTGCAGCACAAGCTGGGGTGCAGTGCGAAACCCCTTGCAACGCTTACACTCCTTTGTACTTACATGAAGCCAAGTTAAGTGCCTTCACAGCTGCACTTATTAACGACTCTCTTCAGTGCCACGAAGCAGTGAAGAGGCTAAAGGTATGTGATTAACCTTTTTTTTTGAAACAAACAAATTATAACAAGAAACATTTCTTTATTAAGGCAATGCGTTTCAAGACTCCCTTTTCAATTTCATGGTTTGGAGCTTCGCGGGCACTTTCTCGGTGAAGTCACTCAACCAAGCCTCTAAGACGCTCCTTGTTCCACAGTTGCCTGCCATTTTGAGTCACCGTCTTCACCTGAATGACTGTCTTCTTAGAGACACCCAGGGTGTAGTCTCTTTATCGGTTGTTGTTGTGTTTGAAGTTCTTTTCTAAGTCTCGTGGTCTCCAAATAGAGCACATTTTGACAGTGTACATTCGTAATATGCGCCATTCGAACACATGGAGGTTGTCGCAAATTATGGCCAGGCAACATCCTACTTTTCTCCCCGTGTTTTTTTTTTTTTTTCAGGGACATACTTTGTTCCCGGGCTCAGTACCTGGGCTTAGTCTATTGGCTTAGTACTGGGCTTAGTTCATGAGCTTAGCCCGGGACGTGTGGCTTTGGGCTTAAAGGCTCGGGCTTTGATCCACGGTCTATGTTCCTGGGTTTAGTCCATGCACTTGGGACATTGCCTTTCTCTCTTTGCTCAGTATTTGTGCCGACTCCCTGGGCTTAGTTTCTGGACTTAGTCCCTGGGCTTAGTCCCTGGGCTTAACCTCTGATCTTAGTCACTGATTTAATTTCTAACGTAGTTCAAGGACGATGTCCCTTGGACCGACCGCCCTGTGGGCCTAATACGACTCAGTCAGTGTACCTGTCGCACTGCGCTTGAGGCACGCAAATGCCCAGGCCGTTCCTGTACAGTCCGCGGTCGCAGAAGCACTGGTAGGCGCAGTCCCGCGTGCACTCGTCCGTCGGTTCGGGCTGCGCGCAGGAGAGCTCCCCGCAAGACGAGCTCTCGCACTCCTTGAACACCTCGCCAGGTCCGCACTCTGGAAGCGTTTCTCCCCCGCTGCCTTCATCTGCGGCTGAGAATACCACGTAATTCGCTTATGTGTATACCCAAATACGGAATACACATGGACACCCAGAAATAGGGAAGGAACTAGGTCAGAACGTAATAAATGAATAAATAATGATAATATTAAAAAATAATAATCTTGAAGAAATATCACAGTATCTGTAAATAGATAAATAAATAATAATATTTATAATAACTATTATATTATATGGCTTTTGACGACTCCAAGCTACGACGATTATTAAATGTCGCTGTGGAGGGCTCCGGTATAATTTGAACCATCTGATCTGGTGTTCTTTAACGGGCATCGACATCACACAGTACACGGGCCTCTACCGTTTCGCCTTCATCGAAACGCGACCACCACGGCCGGGATCGAACCCGCGACCTTCGTCTGAGCAGCTAATTGATGGATTGCTCAATCAATGGATTGATATACATACAGTGAGTAAAACGTTGCCGTTAGAACATCGAATAGCCAATATTAACAACGACTTACTCTTCCTTAGACAACTTCAGGTATCAATTAGCAAATGCTTGCAGACATCAGCCGTAGTTTAGCCAGCACTGCAGCTGAAAGCAGAAGGCAGCACAATTTTTTGAAATGCGAAAAATTTTTTAGTGAACTACGACGACTTGAGCGTATCTATCTATCTATCTATCTATCTATCTATCTATCTATCTATCTATCTAGATACGCATCGTCCATTTGGAATCCATCCCAGGCATACCTCGTTAGCGAACTAGAACCAGTTCAAAACCGCGCTGCCCGCTTTATAACCTCACAGTACTCCAGAGAAATCAGCGTCACCGCCCTAAAACAATCAATTGAACTGCCATCACTCGCGTCGCGCCGCCTCATCTCGCGCCTATGCCTCCTCCACAGTTTCTTTTTCCGACCCCAATCAAGACACGAACTTTTACAGCCCCCAAACAGAACTTCTTCCCGCATTAACCATTCAAACCCCATTGCACGAATCAACGGCCGTACATCCGCAATGAACGACTCCTTTTTCCCCCAAGCAATAACACTTTGGAATCGCCTTCCCGACACCATTGTTGCCACACCTGACCGCACGTCATTCCGCGCAAAATTGGAATCCCACTTTGATTCCACCCATTAACCCGTGGCTGTAAATATATTCTATCAACGTACTGTATGTATAATTTGCTTGTGCCAAGTTGTTTGTACTCTAATTCCCAGCCAAGGCGTTTCTTTTGTGTGTTATTTCATTCATTTTTGTTGTCATTTTTGACCAAACTATCATATTAGAACTGTACTGTTTATAATAATTTGTTCAACTTGAATTATACACACTCACAGCGTATTTTTTGCCCCCCCCCCCCCTTATGTAATGCCCTCGGGCCTTTAAGGATGCAATAAATGAAATGAAAAATCTATCTATCTATCTATCTATCTATCTATCTATCTATCTATCTATCTATCTATTTAGCCGCCTACGACTTTCATCTCTCCTGGTCATTTCTACAATGGTATCAAAACCAAAATCGGTATGGCATTGGCATAACATTACTGTACGACGAGCATAAGTGTCTCGTCATAACATGAGAATCAAGAAATGTATGTTGTGAATGTCATTATTTTACATTTCATGGCATTTCTTCTCTTGCGATAGTTTCGTTCACATGACATATTGCAAAGCTGGTATGGTATGACATGACTGCATAGCGAACATAAGTGACAGACCCTAACGTGGAAATCATGACATGCACGTCATGCAAGTCATGACTACATGCCGCGCTCATGATGCGCTCGCGCCCGATTCGCTACCTTAAAAAATACCAAATTTGGTATTATGTGACGTGAACAGACTAGGAAGATAAATTGCTCGTCTAAACACGATAATCCTAACATGCGTGTCATGTAAAACATGACAGCATATATGCTCGTAGTGCACTCGCGGTCGTTTCGCTAGCGTCATATATGCCAAATTTGGTGTTACCGGCGTCAATCGATGACAAAGGTACATGGCTGGTGCAAACATAATAATCATGACATACGTGACACGTAAGAATATCCCGGCTGCGGCGACTGCATTTCCGATGGAGGCGGAAATGTTGTAGGCCCGTGTGCTCAGATTTGGGTGCACGTTAAAGAACCCCAGGTGGTGGAAATTTCCGGAGCCCTCCAATACGGCGTCTCTCATAATCATATGGTGGTTTTGAGACGTTAGACCCCACATATCGATCAACGTAAGAATATGACAACATACCGCGCTAATGATGCCCTCGTGGCCGTTTCGCTAGCTTCACGCATACCAAGTTTAGTATTACGTGACGTGAATGGACAATGAGGGTAAATGACACATCGAAACATGATAACCATGACATGCGTGTCATGTAAAACATGACTACGTGCTACGCTCATGATGCGCTCGCGGCCGTTTCGCTAGCTCCGCACATACAAAATTTGGTATCACGGGACGTGAACAGACGACAATGATAAATGACACGTCCAAATATGATAATCGTGACACATGAGTGCATCCTACGCTCATACCATGCCCGCGGCCATTTCGCTAGCTCCACATTTAGGATGACTGCCAGTTGGGCGTTTTGGTAAAGGTCATCATGAGCTCCACATATACCAAATTTGGTATCACGTGACGTCATTAGATGACAAAGGTAAATTATACGTCAGAAATATATATCGATCTATTCATCTATCTGGCGCCAGTGACGTGTACGCAATGGTGCATTAACTGCTTACATTTCATGCTATTTTAATGTGACAACATCTGGAGGATGAGCCTTGTACACATATATCCTAATTGTAACATCATTGCAGTTCATTATGGTGTGATGAGCAGCTTGCAGATTACATCACTTGTGTGAAAACTATACAAGATATATTGTTAACATTAACGAAAACAGTCTCTGAAGATTTGTGAAGGCTGTGATCAATCGCTGTGTGGTCTTTGGTCCGAAGGGTGTAGCAATTCAGGAAAAACATGCCTTAATTAAAGTGAATTGCTCTGTTCTTTCTGGTGCATGCAAATTTTATACGACACCACAATAACATGTACCTTTCTTTTCTTTTTTTCAAATCGCTAAGCAGACATAGAAGAACGACAGCCCTGCCAGCATTCCACTCGGAACATGAGAGGTACCAAAACATCCACACAGCCTAAGTGAGTTCCTAGAGGTCACTAAGCTCAAGCACATGGGTTTCATTTCCAGCCACGGTGACCACATTTCAATGCAGATGACACTGAAAAACACCCACGTGCTGAGGTTGAAACTCACGTCAAGGAACATAGGTGTTCGAAATTAATCTGCAGTCCTCCAATACGGCACACCTGATAATCGTGTCGTGGTTACAGCGGTCAAAATGTCGGAGTTTAATTACAACATTGCCAGACTTCAGAAGATAAAGAGATCTAAGAGATGAAAAATTGTTAGTAAGCAACTGCCTAGTTGCCTTGTTGACAGGCCGCTTGTCGACGCTTCGGCTCCAGCTACACCACCTACTCAAAAATTTTTCCATCTCTACAATTTTAATTAAAATATAAAAACATTACCTGCACTATGATTAACAAAAATTATAAAAAGTTGGTTCGAGCCACTTACCAGGCATTGCGGAGATGTTCGAGACCGCCAGTGCTTCCAGCAGAACCAATATCATCCACATTGCTCCCATGACGCCTTCGCAAACCTCGAACCAAGTTCAGGCCACAAGCTTCTGTCTGTTTCTAAGCACACTCGAGATCGTAGCTCTATCAATGCGACTTTCGAAGACGCATCCGACGAGCTTCGCAGGAAATTCCTTTGCAAAAAAAAAAAAAACGGCGGTTCTGAATGCCGCAAGCGAAGCCCTTCAGCTGCTGCGTTTAAAGGAAACCAACAGCTCCCTTTCGTCACGACAACGCAAACGCGCACGCGATCTTTATGCCCGGCTGTGCTTGGACGAGGCGCGATAAAAAATGTATACCGGGACGGTTGTTTCGAAGTCTTCGAGGAAATCCCGTGCCGAACCCCCATCCCCCTATACGAGTTAGTTGTTTATAATTGAAAACGCATCCGTCTTGTCGCGACGCGTGTGCGAAGCGAAAGCTGTCGATGGCTCGCGCGATGAAAATATCGGTTAGACTCGCTGAGCATTTGAAGGCAAGGTCAGCTGAAGTGGATATAATGCGAACAAAGAATGAGAGAGTGTGGCATTGAAGGAGATATAAAGGGAAGAGACAAGGATAAAGTAAAGGGGATGGTGAAATAAAGCGAAGAGAGTGTGAGGCTATAAAGTAAACGAATAGTGGCATAAAGCGAAGGTATATTCAGAGAATGTGACGAGAAGGGGGATATAAAGTGAAGAGTGAGTGGGAACGTGCGACATGAAGAAAGTAAAGAGTGAGGAAGAGGGTGTGACACTAAAGAGGATGTGAAGTGAACAGTGTGCGATAATAAAGACGATCTAAGTGAAGAGAGATAGACGATAAATGTGATATAAAGTGAATAGAGAGTGGGAAAGTGTGACATTGAAGAGCGGTGCGCGCTTAGGTGCCAACACGGCGCAGTCACGAGCGCAGGATGTATGCGCTGGTCTGGCCGCGATAAGGTCGACGGAGCGCCTGATTGAGGGCCTATAAGAAATTAACGAGCCACTTTAGGGCTTGCCGCTGTCGGCTATGGTATTGCGACAGCGAATTTGTTTTCTTTTATTTTTTGTTAGCTCTGTTCGGCGTAGAACCTTCTCTTTCGCATTCTTGCGCGTACTTGCATACGTGTACCATGTGGTTATTTATGCCCGCTGCTCGCGCGAGTGGATGCGCGTTTCAGAGTAGGTATGAGAACGTTGGTTAAGGAGGAACAGAGGGATAGTCACTCGTAGTTAGGCTTAACAAAAAAAAGTACACTAAGCCTGTTACCGCCATACCAAGATCCGTATAGCATGTCAGAACGCCACTGTGTCTGTATATATATTCCGCGTGCACCACGCTGACGTCAACGGCAGAAGGCCACTTTCGGATTCTCTGAGCGCGCAGTTACGGTAATTAGTGGTGCACTTCTCGACACAAAGCAGGACACTACTGAGCTCATCGTCGACGTTTTTTCGTAGACAGCGTGAAGGTCGAGCGACGTCGGCACCACTGCTGGCCTTACTGAAGTGAATTCACGTTGCTTTGGTTTATGCTTCCGCTTCTCTACGTTGTTGGAATATACAATAGCGTTGTCGGGCTTTTACCGTAATTTACTGTGTGGTCACGAAGTTTGACGGGACATTCCACGTTCTAAAGGTCGCTTGGAAGATCGTCGAGCTGCGTTAATTGCACCGATGATTCAGTCCGGTTGCGTCTTGGGAAAATGTAATATGAAGAGACAAGTCCAACTTGTTGAATCCATGTCATTTAACCATTCAAGTTCATGATGTTGATTGATTGACTGATCGATCGATTGACTGATTGATATGTGGGTTTTAACATCCCAAAACCACCATATGATGAGAGACGCCGTAGTGGAGGGCTGCGCCGTAGTGGAGGGCTAGACCACCGCGGCGGGGCGAAGTGCACATTTTTATGCCTGTGTCCCTGAAATGTGTTTTTCATGACTCTCTTACGTGTCTGGCTAGTGCCAGAAAGCAGTGTGCAAATGTCGTCGATGCTGACGTTCTCTGACGAAACTTAAATGACTTTTCTTAACCTGAAACGCACTTATGAGGTTATGCTTGTAGTACTAGGTCCTGAGTGGTGCTAAGCACAGGTGTGGAGCAATTATCTTTTTTTCTTTTCATCACCACTGTGTAATGAGAATGACCACTGCGCAACTGATATGCAATGACAATCACGCAATGATTTCGTTTATCGCTAGCCACTCTAGTCATTACAGCGTGCCTGTTTAGTGTGAGCGCGTGCAGGTGCGTGCGTGTGTGTGTGTGTGCGTGCGTCTGTGTGCGCGTGTGTGTGTGTGCGTGCGTATGTGCGTGTGTGTGTGTGCGTGCGTCTGTGTGCGTGTGTGTGTGTGTGCGTCGGTGTGCGCGTGTGTGTGTGTGCGTGCGTGTGTGCGTGTGTGTGTGTGTGCGTGTGTGTGTGCCAGTGAACGTATGTTTCTTAATGCAGAGGAGAGACACAAAACGTGCCGAATGTAAGCCAGTAAATCCAGTTTATTCCTTCTCGAGCCGACAAGGCACCACACTTAGGAGCAGTCAGCCCTGCGAACGCAGTTCCCGGCACTGTTCCGGAAGAACCCGTTGGCGCAGAAACAGGCAGTTACACAATCGTTGGGGCACTTGGTCGGAGGCGTCGGGTTCGCACAAGTCAGCTCTGCGCACGCGCTGCTCTGGCACTGCATCAACAACTCACCGTGGCTGCACCGGGGAGGCGCGGGATAACCCGGAACCGGAACTGCAAAGGATGTAAAAGCATTGGGCCTTTTTTTTCTCCTCTCAACAAGAATTTAAAATAATATGCGCTGTGTTTACTATGCAGGAAGACAGCAAGATTTCTTTGTGTGGGGCAAAGACTAAAGGCGCAAACATAGCCAGAAGAGGTCTTGATGACTAATAAGGTAAGCATTAGTTCACATAACGTATACATTCAAACAGACATGGAGCATTTCCTTCGTTTTACGTCTGGTCGCAAGCGCGGTTATTCATACATATTTTCGTGCACGCTCAAGGTAACCTTGCATAGCAATGCTCGTTGAGCTAGGCCAAGAAGCGGCTCAGTCCGAACTTCTTCGTCCTCTTTCACACGAAGCCACGCGACACCATGCGGCAATGTATATTCCGAATGACCTCTGCCCTCCAAATTCCCACCGCCTTGCTTCTATACCTGCTCCCTTTATGAGCCCTTGCGGGACTAACTTGCATAAATGCGGCCCATTAGGCTTAGGTGGGTTGGGAACCCCTGCTTTATAGCCAATTCTTAGCAACCGGAACACTCAAAAACGCGACGCTCGTGCGGCTCTGCGATAGTATACAGAGCCACGGCCGCTGGGTGAAAAGCGCACCGAGTGGCCGCGACAGTGCCATCACTACTGCTTTTTTTTTTTTTAATATGCGTTTGTTGTAGCCAAACGTGCCGTACAGCAACGACGTCATGGGAAGAGCGGTTCATTAAGTTACCGAACACGCCATACTATTCATCCGGCAAAACGAAACTGCATCCTTTCACGAACACTTCAAGATGAGCCTCTCTCATAACTATGTGGTGGTTTTGGGACATTAACTCTACACATGTCGATAAATCACTTAAGGAAACAGCCCGGCTTACCTTGAGCATGACACAGCGCAACTCCGGATAGCAATACGGCTACGACTGTGGCTTGCGACTTCATGACGGAATACTGTCGCTCCGAAATTGTCGCAAGATCGCTGGATCAGCATCCATCTAATCATTTCGCTCTTTATAAGGCGACCCTGCAGCGGTCTCAGGGGAAAGGGCTTCAGTCCATGCCAATGGCCAGAGAGGCGGGTCGTGCGCCTCTGGATTTATTACTCAGCCAAGCCGTTGACCGTCAAGTAGCAGGACGTGTTGCAACGGCCTAGACTTTCAGAAAAGAAAAAAAATACGACCATTTTTTGAGGCGGTGAAAAGTATGAAACAAAGCCACCCCTCTCAACCACCTCCCTCACCCTTTTTTTCGCCCTAAGCCCTACAACGACTACGCCTATATACACTACGCATTCCCTTCTTTTGTGTGTGTGTTTTTAGTGCGACAACAAACATGTCTTTCGGCAGGACTACGCTACTATCAACTTCCCGTCTTCAAGTATGTTTACAATTTGTGTTTTCATTCCTCATGATGGCCCTCGTTGCAAAGAGTATTGATAGGCTGCGTACCTGCGTAAGTGGCGCATCATCCTGCGGTTGTCGCGTCTCCTTCCGGGTAGTTTCGTCATTTCAGAGGGCTCCGCTCAAACAGCAACAACCAGTTTACCGGAAAAAATAAAACAGCATATACTTCCCCTGATGCATACCGACTCGTTCCACAGGAATTGCGCAGCAACTGTAAAAACTTACCGAAGGTTGGCATCCGCAAAAAAAAAAAAAGTAAGAAACCATCGATACTCATCTTTCGCAGCGAGAAGGAAGTTTTATCTGTTTATATGTTTATTTTTTTATGTGATTAACAAAAACTAGACCAAGCCCAAACCTCACTAAAAATTATTTTTCTAATGACGAAGCACTTCTTGGTGAACTGCGGGTACTTTGAGCGTTTCTATCTGTCTATCCATCTATCTATCTATCTATCTATCTATCTATCTATCTATCTATCTATCTATCTATCCATCAAGCCGTCTCTACGATGGGTGCTCTCGTTATCACCTATTTACTTCGGGGTAAACAAAACAAGAAATTGTATGAGAGGGTAAGAGCATTCTACAGATATGCCTTCATGTATTGCCGAATAATGTGAAAATAACACCGCGTACGCCGTCAAACCCTTTCCTCCAGACACGTGTGGCAAATACCCGCATACCGCAAACCTCGATATATGCGGGTATGCGCACCCCAGGTTATTCACAGTTTCCGCCTTCGCAGCAACGGCGAGATCAGACATGGCTAATTTAAATGTGAGAGTGTCAAGAAAAAAACTTACATTGGCGGTGTCGATCAGACCAATGCAAAGATTCGATTTGAGGGTCCCGGCAGGAATCGAACCCAAGTACTGTGCTTGGAAATCGAGTGTTATACGACAGAGCCACGCCACGTCTCAAAACTTCTTTGGAAAATACCCTCTAAAGCGCAAAGATTAAAGATCAGTTGTGGTTGTAATGCTGGCTATCTCATTTTATAAACATTATATGTGTACTCCTATGACAGAAAAGTCATGGTGGGTTAGCCTAAAATGTAGTTATGCACCGTCCACTGAAGTTGGAATACGTATAGCACTAGCCAGGGATGACTTCCTTTCAAGCAGCACATGTCATCTTGTCGCTTCTGGTGTTGATAATAGCCATGT